CGGCAATCTACTCTGTCCTGATCTCCAAGTATAAGCCCTACAAGTTCGATTGGCGCGAGTTCCTGCGCATCGAACTTGCTGACGAATTCCGGATCGACCCCGATAGCGCATCTTCTGCAGAGCAATCGGAAGAGTCGTCGATTAGCGACGAGAAGAAAGATCCCGGCCAGAAAGATGACGAAAAACACCCCGTGCCTCCTGAACGTGTATACCTGTCCCGCGAAGCCCAGGCATCGTCTTCGGAAGAAGTGACTAAAGTGTCATCGCACAAACCAGAGCACGCTCTTGGCGATACAGAGAAGAGCCTACCTAAAGCTACAATCTCGCCGCGAAATAAGCCCACCGCGATCCCCCTCGACCAGATCCAACATCCGTTCAGCGAGGAAACACTGCGGGAGCTGCGGAAATGGTACCGTATCGCATGGGCCTTCTTCGTTTTCATAGTGCTAGTAACGTTCGTGGCGTGGCCCATGCCGCTGTACCGCGACTACATCTTCACGAAGCCGTTCTTCAGCGGGTGGACTACCGTCGCTATTGCTTGGCAGTTCTTCTCGTTCCTTGCCGTTGCTGTGTACCCGCTGTACGATGGACGTCATGAGATTGCTAAGGGTGCTAAGGGCGTGTGGAAAACTACGAGGGGATATTTTGGGAAATCGGCCTCGGCATGATGTGGAATGATAAAGGTTTATCTGCAGCTGTAGGTTAGGGTTGGAGGAAAAGGGGGGATAAATGCTTTGGGTGGTTCTTTGCTTGACGTAATGAGGTAGACATCGCGTAAAACGCAGTATTGAATTGTGATAATTAATTTATTCAAGACATCAAGGTCATCATGATAGTATATACTTAGGTACGCTTTAGATCCTACACAAATCTTGTAGCAACATCCATTTCAGCGTGTTCGATGAGCCAAGTCAGGTCAGATAACTGTAAAGACTTGACCTTATCCGAGTCAGGTCAAATATATTTAAAAATGAGGCCTACCTGGCCGTATCGTGGGCTTGGCCTGAGGCACCTCTCTTATCGATACAGGCAAAAATTTAGGTAATCAAAGTCTACGCTATCCAATTGGTCAGATTCGGGGTAATCTAATATATACCCACTCAACCCCACCCTTAACGCTTTTTTTAATCAAAACACCAAAAGGTTATCGTGACCTTAAAAACACGATTACAAATAGCCTCATTACCTTATACGTATCGGTGTACGTACCCTTTTTTTAAAATAGAATTGTCTTAATAGCTTATTATTACGTCAATTGTAAAAAGGTGCCAGAAATAACCCTGTATTTATTTACCTTAATATAAAACGTTGCCGATCATACACAATATTGTCAGACAGTTTGCTTTAAATTGACCAATTATATCCTATAAATATATACTAAAGTGGGCCTAAACAGCCTTAACTTATCTGCCTACTAGGCAAATAAATTTTTTTTATACCTGAACTGTATAGATATCCCGAAAAAGCTATCTACCCAGGCTAGGTCAGGTCAGGCCCGAGTCAGGTCAAGCTATTAACTGACTCATCGAACACGCTGATCCATTTACCTCCCACGGCGTCCCAAACGTGCCTTCAAGCTCTTCATCATAAGCACGGATTGCTGCTTTTCCCAAGGCCCACCTGGCTTGTTCGTATTGACATTGTACGTAGTATTCGCAGGCAGAACCTCCCACTGCATCGTGGAATTTCCCTGGCGATACGTGCTCTTCTTCGTTCCCTCGGTGAGATACTCCAAATCCACAACGTGTTTTCCGGTCTGGATGTCCTGGCCTTTGATGGCTCGCTCGAAAAACTCTAGGGCGGCTAAAGGCTGGTAGAAGGGGACCTCGTGGCCGCTCTCGTAGATTCGCGTGAAGCTAAACTTGCCGGATTGCTTTACTTGGCCGTGCGTTATGTTGTCGCTCGTGAGTATGTCCGTATAGCCGGCTTTCGAGAATCCCGGCGCTGCAACTTCTTCTACCACGGCTTCGTTTCCGAGCCAGTTGCAGTTGTAGTCCGCGTCGCCCGCGTAGATTGCTACGGTTATGTTTTTGGAGATCAGGTAGCGGAGGTCTTCGATCGTGCCCATCTCCCGGCTGTCGTCTCCGGTACCGTCAAACGCCCGGCCTACGGCGTCGCTGAACGTCGAGAAGTTGGTGAAAGCGCCAATTGCGGCCTGCAGCTCCGCCGAGTTTAGGTACTCGCTATAGAATCCGTATGGGAACGGATCTGGTACGAGCTCCCGCACATCATACTCGTCTCGGCCGAGCACGTTATCGTACACAGATTCGACCATGTTGGCGCAGAAGCTGTCTGCGCTGCTGCAGATGTGGTTCAACCCAGTAGCTTTGCAGTCATTTAGCCGATCGAGGCAGTTCCCAGGTCCGTACAAATTGTTATAGAACATGGATTCTATAGACGCGTTGAAGGGCGCGTAGTCATAAGTGTTCCCGGGATAGACGGTGAAGTTGTAATAGGCTTGATACTGAAGTATCGGGTCGTACCACCCATTGCCGATCAGGACCGACTCCAGCTGGATCTCCTTCGCGCCCGGAATCTGCTTGGCGTTCTGCTCTTCGATATACGCATTGAAGACAGGTCCGTAGTGACCACCATAGCTTTCCGTCGCGAAGTGAAACCCGTTTCGCGAGTACTTAGGGAATGCGCCCATGAAACCCTGGAGTGTCTTCCAGAAATTAGGAGCAGCATTAGTAGTCGAATTTGCAGTTAGCGTGAGATTCGGGTAGGAATAGGTTCCGCACGAGCCAGCAGGCGCATAGTCGGGACATGTAGCGTCTGGCACAGCGACGATATTGCCGTCCGAGTACCAAGCGTTAACGGGCTTAGAGTAGGAAAAGCCGACTTGAGTGGGCTGGTCGATGAAGAGCAGATTGCTCACGTTAGACCACGAGTAAGGGTTATTGTAGACCTTGCCGAAGTAATCAACACGGCACGGGCCCAACTCCTCAAAGAGGCCGATCATAGAGCTCGAGCCTGGGCCGCCGTTGATCCAAACGGTCAACGGGGCCTCTGATGGATCTTGGTTGCGGGATTCGAAAAACCACCAGAAGATGTGTTCATCCTCTCCCACGTCGGCATATCCCGAGTAACTCTTCACATTAGGGTCCAGCTCGCACGTCCCCGGCGGCACCTCTTTGTACCGAACTGGAATATCGGCGTAGCCGACGACTTCTTTGAGCGAAGTCGGCGGCGCAACGAACTGAGCTAATCCTCGAGATGCCGCAGCCACGAGCAACAACGGCCGCACGAAGGAAGACATGGTGAAGGCAATTGTCATGACGCGCGTAGGGAGCGGGAACACAAGAAGAGAAGAGACGACGGACGCCAAGTCACGATTTATAAGGAATGTTCGGTAGCAGCCATGATGATCGACGGGGTACCTGGCTAGCTAGGCTACTACGTAGGCCGGCATGGGCATGGGCACGGGCACGGGCAATGCGCATGGAAGAGTCTTACCGGTCTGGGATTTTCTTTTGTTGTCAATGGCTGTTCTAGGTAACGAGCCGTGGTATTGGGCTGACGCCATTGGCGGCGCACCACATCGTATCTATCTGCTATGTTGCGTCGGGGCCTGCATGCTGCACGTCGCCTAGCTTGAATAGGCATGCCATTTGTTTATCTGCTATCGTATCGTGCGGGGGTTCCTTAAACGAGGTTGTACTGGCTTAGATGTGGTTAGATAGATGTGGATGGAGGTTGGCGGGACTATCCACACGATAACGAGCGCAAAAGCAAGGAACAGCTGTGGAGTATGTATATTATGTATCGAGATCATGCAATGAGAGTCTTCCAGTAATGAGTTATACCTAGGTAATTCTCATGCTTATTTTGTCTGTCTTACATGATCCCCATACATCTGCTTTCAGACATGTCTCAACAAGTAACTTTACCTCCGAGGCATACGGAAGTCCGTTACCAGCGAGTTCCACGAGTCAGGTCAGGTCAGATAATCGTATATACCTGGCTCGATACGAGTCAAGTCAGATATATTAGATTTGAGGGCTTACCCGGCCGTATCGTCGATTTGGCTTGTATACCTTTATAAAGCTACACTTAACCATATCAGCTACCTAATATATTTCACCCCAAACCTTTACCAATAGCCAATAATATTGCCTTAAAAATATTTATATAAAATACCAAATAAAAAAAATTTGCGCTCAACTCGGATAGATATTCCTAAAAAAGGATCTACCCAGGCCAAGTCAGGCCAGGCCTAAGTCAGGTCAAGCTATTATCTGACTCGTGGAACTCGCTGTCCGTTACTCTTCGGCTTAAACAACGTTTTGAGCTTAAAGACATATCGAGATCAACTCTCCTATATTTTATTAGTACTGCCACAATTTTTCCAGCCAATCAGGTCCTTAGAATCGCCCCGCAGTTGGCGACTTTTCCCTTTGCCATTCTATCGCATAAGGTCTAAAACACATGCAAATATGATAGAAAGGTCATGCAAAACGCGCTCTATCCAACAATACTAATTATAATATATTTTACGCAATAGCAAGGCTATATAATTGATTTTACAAAAGATTCATCGGACGTGCGCTAAGGTGTGGCTAGCCAATCAGAAAGGCCAGACTTATATGTGGCGTAAAAGGCACTCTTGAAGCTAGGCACTCCCCGTAAGCGCTTGCGCGAACGGGTAACGCAGCTAGTATATAGACACAATAAGACAATCTGAAGGGAAGAACCCCGGGATTCAAGATGACAATTTTTAAAATTCAATTCATGCATAAGTCCCAGGCCCTCATTATCTATCCACATTATCCACATAATCCAGGAGGAAGCATCGTTCATCAAGAATTCATCCAGGTCCCCATAATCAAGTTCTTAGCCATCATCGTCCTTTTTTCACTCGCGTGAACTTCTCTGGTAAGAGTATCCCGCCGACATTACTCTTATAAGTAGCCGCATCTGATGAAGGTGTAAGCACATGGCGGAGGAGGTACTGTGATATCACCCCGTAGATGATTTCACGGGATAGATCGGATAGGAGAAGCACATACTAAAATCCCAAGCACTCCCTACGCCAGATTTTCCCAATAACCCCATCCCACTACGCTTATAGTAAGAGAAATAGAATCATGCCCAATAGATTGCCTCCCAACACCTTATCATTGCGTGCGGGCTCAAGTATCCTACCTGCTCCGGAAGATCTGGAGGAAGTAGTTGTACTGGTAGTAGTTGTCTGAGAAGTTGAACTTGTCGGACTCTGCTATTCTTATTAGGTACGTCGTGCTAAACGTGACAATGAGGTGCGGGAAATGACTTACAGGATTACCTGCGCTTACAGTGACAGTGGCAGTAACAGGACCGGACTTCGTGCTTGCGGTGCTGGATGTCGTTCTACGGCGGCTAGTTGAATTGACAGCGGCGGTGCTAACTGATCCTGATCTTGTCCTCGTGATAATCGACGTGAGAGTTCTCGTCCCGGACCCCGATCCGCTAAGGGTGCTCGTCCTCAGGCTCGTAATTGTGGACGTGAAGGTTGTCCCTGGTAGATCTCCGTTGCTTGACGTAGAAGCACCGCCGATAGAAACAGAAATCAATATCGAAGTATCCACACTGGTTGTTGTCGAAGCAGATGTAAATGTCGAACCAGAACTCGTAATCGTGTCTGTAATAGTAGACGTGCTTGTAATAGTAGACGTGTAAGTTATTGTCGTCGATGCTGTCTCTGTGTTTGCTCTAGTGTTACTCGGGTTCGTAGATGTTTCCGTGCTTAAGCTATCTACGGTGCTTGTCCTTGTCCGTGTAAAGGTAGATGTCGCTACACTACCCGAGCTCGTGTAAGTACTTGTGGTAGTCGTAAAGCTTCTAGTTGGAGAAAGCTCCGAAGTTTCTGAAGTTCCTACGGTGCTTGTCCTTGTCCGTGTAAAGGTAGATATCGCTACACTACCCGAGCTCGTGTAAGTACTTGTGACAGTCGTCGTAAAGGTTCTCGTTGGAGAAAGCTCCGAAGTTTCTGAAGTTCCTACGGTGCTCGTCCTCGTCCTTGTAAAGGTTGAGGTGGCCACGCTGCCTGAGTTCGTATACGTACTCGTGAGTGTTGTTGTGTAGGTCGTTGGTGAAGTTACTATTGTACTTGTTCTTGTCCTTACAAACGTAGATGTCACCGTGCTGTCTGAGCTAGTATATGTACTCGTGGCAGTTGTCGTGTAGGTTCTCGTTGATACTCCTGAAGTGTTTGTTCTAGTCCTTGTAAACGTCGATGTAATCGTGCTACCAGAGTTGGTGTAGGTACTTGTGATTGTTGAGGTGGATGGATCTATTTCCGATACTTGGCTTGATTCCGTTATGGTATCCGTCTCTGTCAGTGTAAAAGTTGATGTAAAAGTGCTACCAGAGCTTGTAAATGCACTTGATTCCGTTATAGGATCCGTCTCCGCTAGTGTAAAAGTGGATGTGAAAGTGTTACCAGAGCTCGTGTATATACTTGATTCCGTTATAATATCCGTTTCTGTTAGTGTAAAAGTTGACGTGAAAGTGCTACCAGAGCTTGTATATGTACTTGGTCCAGAAATAAGCCCACTGCTAGTGAATGTGCTTGTAAATGTTGAAGTAAATGTTGCCGTACCCTGGTTGATCCCAGTGCTAGTGAACGTTGAGGTATATGTTATTAATCCCACTGTGGTATCTGCGCTTGTGAATGTTGATGTATATACACTCCCAGGATCCGAGATTGTGCTGAAGTACGTTGATGTATACGTACTAGGAAAAGTTGAAGAATATATACTGGTGATTGATGACGTGTAGGTGCTTCCGAATGTGCTGGAAAATGTTGATGTATAGATGCTGATGTACGTTGATGTATACGTACTAGGAAAAGTTGAAGAATATACACTGGTGATTGATGACGTGTAGGTGCTTCCGAACGTGCTGAAAAATGTTGATGTATAGATGCTGAGTGCCGAGGTACTTATGCTATTAGTAAAGCTAGAAGAATAAGTGCTGAATGATGCATACTCGCTCAGAGTAAAACTAGAAGAATATGAAGTGCCGAAAGTACTAATGGATATCGTGTTTATATTTGAAACTGAGCTTGGTATAGTAAAAGTATTGCTGGACGGGTATGAACTTGTAAAACTATTGGTACTTGTAAATGAGTATGAACTTAGAAGGGAACTGAAAGAACCACTCGAGAAAATCGAAGAATAGGTATCCGAATACGAACTAAATCCAGTACTAGAGAAAGTGGAATAGTATGAAGTGTAGGTCGAGGTGCCACTATTGCTGGACCAACTTGATGAGATTGAAGTTGAAATGGTATTAGTTGTCCACGTATTGGTGGCTGAGGAGCGGCTCATGTCAGTGTTAGTAAGACTTGAAGAGTACGGAGTCGTACCAGTACTAGTGATTACTGACCCGTATGTGTTCGAGGACCCAATGTCTCCGTCGTAGTCTAAAGGCACATCTGTGGCTTGATAGCCGCCTCCAGTAGTATACGAAGGGCTATAAGTCTTAAAAATATTAGTTAGGAAGTATTGTCGGATGTAATTGGAGCATGGGTGGATACTTACGAAATCTACCCGTAAAGTGTCTACTACTGTTGTATAATCTGTTATAGTTGAAGGTGCCCATGTACTTGTCTGAGTTGTGTAATAGGTGCTGAACTCTGATGAGGCAACGTCCTAACATGTATCTGGAGTTAGCACAGTCTGATCAAAGACTGATTCTGATCTGTGATAACCATTTCGTCTTGCATTGGATATTAAAGAAGCCTAGTACGAACAGCAAAGCAAATCAAAGACGTAATAGAAGAAAATTGACTTACAATGCAATTACCGAAGCCGAAGGCGTTATATCCGTGATTTAGAAAGCTCTGTATGCCCGAGTCTAAGGAATGAAAGCCTCCGAAGCCGGGTCTACCGTGTAAAGGACCGCCATGGTTCAAGTGGTTCTTAATACCGTCGAACATGTCTCGTGTTGAGATTCGTATATGATTTACAGCACCTTGTATGGGGCGACATCCGCACAACTGAGCTATTGTGTCTCGCCTGGCCACCAGCTGCGTTATGAGTGAACCAATGGATTGATGAAATGGTTTTATAGCTGACTGTATGGACTGGAAATCCCCATCCCCAAGTGATTTGGCTGAGGTAATAGCGGCAGAAGTTGTCTTAATCGTAGAGGATAATGACTGGAACGCTAAGTCAAGATGCTCAATAGTACCGCCATTCCTCACGCTTCGTATCGCGCGGTTTACGGTGTGGATCTGTTGATTAGCCGAATGGATAGCATTCACGATGGAATTGACTCCATGTGAACCATGTCCGTTGTTTTGGCCCTCATTATGAGATGCAACAGAACCATCTCCATGGTTCTTATTGCCGGAGCCATGGTTATTATTGCCGGAGCCATGGTTATTATTGCTGGAGCCATGGTTTGAATTTTTGTTTTCTTGAGCTGCATTGTCGTGAGCGCCGACAAGCCCGTTACGATTGCGATCGGATACTTCTAGATGATGATTGCTCGCACTACCAGAACCAAATCTATTAACTCCTCCTAAGCGGTTTGCGAATGTAGCCACTATGTAAATAGAGATGGAGATTATTAGATAGAGGCTATGGAAGGATTTCATTGTGTCGGCCTTCCGAGATGAAATCGGGGAGGGGGATTATGAGAGAAAGAACTGCGCCCCTGATGGTTCTCTCATGAAAGTAGCGATCTTCGAGTATTAGCTATAGAAAATGGGCACCAGAGCACACCTGGTGGCCTTTTGGTCCTTTAAGACACCTGTATGGACCAACAGAGTAGCACATCTTGAAAAGCGATATGGCGAATGCCATTATTGACTCAACCAACGAAGCCCTTGAAACGTGGTCGTGAATGCAAAAGGGGTACTGGAAGGGTTGCATTTAAAGCGTGGGCATCGTCATTCTGGACTTCGGTAATAAGTATGGCCTTAAAATGGGTCTACAAAGGAGGGTGGGTGGCAGAGATACACGCAATATATCAGCGAGTGACATTAAGAAGAAGCCGTTGATCGGCAATGGGTTGTGTAGCCACATATACGATTCATCCATCGGTACTGTCCATCCTCTAGTAAAGGCCAGCTAATAGAAAACCCTAATATTCTACAACCTACAATTACGCTTTCGTTAAGGATCCAGGGAGGTCAAAGCGGTAAGCTTATGAACTTGCCTAGATGATCATTATTGCCCAATGACAATATTAAAAGACGACATCCGGATTTTAGATAAGGCAAATTAATGTATATAATGCGAGAAATGTTTCGGAGTGAGCTTAGTTCTCCATAGCATCTGAAAAGGGGGGCCAACAACAACGTAGCTGGTCTCATAGACTTTGAGCCTTGAAACTTAATCGGTGTTCAAACTTCCGATATTTGCAACCAGTAGACAAATTCTACTATGGGAATCCTGTTATAAGGTAAGTAAGTCAAGCATGTCTGGACTGCCTTGTCCGGAAAGTTATGTAAAATATCATCTAAGAGTTAGGGGCGATAGAAAGGAATTGGCACGCTTGCTGTCGGTGGTATCTGGTGATTTCGCTTATGCTTCACCTGATTCGAGCTATGTACAGTATACTACGAGTTCAACTTACATGCCTATATAGAAGCTCTGTGATAATAGTACAGCATGTCTACTCCGGCTTCCGCCCCCAGACAACCTTGAGTGGAAAGACGGCCCCTTTCTCACTAAGTTCCTTCTCTAAGTCCGCCCTCAAGGTGTCATACCTCTCGGCTGGAAGGGGCTGCTTCTCCGGCGGGAACGCTACAATATATTATTAGTAAAATAGAACACCTTACCCCTTAATTTAGGGGTACCCAAGGTGTACACTTACTCTTTGCAAACTTCGACAATCCCTCAACTGCAATTCCGCAGCTCCGGACACCGTCTTCGCATAAGCTGTCATCTTCATTCGTCCGGCCCATCTTCAGCACTACTTCCTCCTCGCTGATATCCGTGCATCCCACGCCCTCTAACAAGCCCTTTAGGGTTCCCCCGATCTCCCACGCGGCGCCTACGTGCTCCGCAACGCTCTTCATTAGCCGGAGCAGGTCGCTGTACGCAGGCGTGCGCTCATCGTTCACTATCTCGGGCGGGAAGACCATAGTCGCCTCGCAGAGCTGGATCCAGCCGCCGGGTTTGAGGAGGGAATATAAGTGGGAGATAGAAGGGGCGGGGGCAGCGCCAGCGCCGAGGAGGGTTAGACGTTGGTGGACGAGGGAGAATTGGCCATGCTGGGATTCAGGCCAAGGCTTTTTGATGTCTTGGACCGTGAATGACACATTTGGGGGAGGGGAAGGAGGAAAGGGGGCGGGGTTGAGGTCTGTGCCGACGAACTCATGCGCGCCGGCGGGTAGGGAAGGGAGAGAGAATGCTAAGTCGAGGAGCCATGTTCCATCCGCGGTACCGCTGTCAAGAACTTTGACCGGCTGAGAGAAATCGACGGGTGCGCGAACGAGCTTACCACCCATAGCATCTTTAGCTATAAAATGGTTACTAGCTAGGCGCTTGCGCTCCCCCTGGCTCTCCATCCAGTACTCGCTTTTTTGCTTGTCGGCCATGTTGCAAGGGTGTGAGAGTGAATAATTCTAGAATGGGCAAATCTAATAATTACGTTAAGACCAATAAGTTAAGATGTAGAGATATAAGCTATAAAGAGACGTTTGATTATTCGAATTGCGGTAATGAGACTACGCTTATGGGCGTAACGTAATAGTATTGGTGTGTCTATCATCCTTCCGGTTCCTCGGAGTTACCGATCGGTAGCTTTTAGTCTTGGCTCGGCCTCATCCATCGGTCGGTATTCACGGGTCGAAATGGGAAGAAGAAAAGAAGAAGAAATCAATTGTCCTACACAGATGATATGAATTCCTCCAATGAAGTGTATATACAATTTGCATTAAATCCGTGACATTTACAATTAATTAGGTACTCTTCGCTTCCTTCGATTGTGACTTTTGTTCTTCTTCTCGTCTCTTCGCAAAGTGCTCCACCATGGCGATGCCGCCGCGTTCGTGGAAGAACAGGTCCTGGTACATCACTGTAGCTTCTGCATTCTTCTTTGCACGCGCCCACATGTCAACCTCGAACTTGGCAAGGCGCTCGCTCAATGGTGATGAATCTTGTTCGGTGCCCTCCCCGATTATGGCATGTGCAAGTTCCAATGAGTCTTTCATGGCTACGTTGACGCCGACTCCTGCGAACGGGTTCATTAAATGTGCCGCGTCTCCAATAAGTGTGATCCTGGGATGAGATGGGTTAGTCGATACTAGGTTTTATACGTAAGATGTAGTAAAGAAATAGCTCCCCTAACCTTGGATTGTGTGACCACTGGAAACCAACGGGAAGCATATAGAGTTGCCGTCCTACAGTATCCGGATCACTGTCTAGTACTAGTGCCTTCTGCAGGTCGGAATATTCAGGGTAAAGCGCATCGACAACTTGTCTCCGAGCATCTGGATGGGTGGGGTCGATCCCGGACGCCGAGAACCAGTCGACTGGTACACGGGCGAAGGCGTAGAGCTGAACTGTGCCGTCGCCGTTACGCTGGCACATGAGCCCCTTGTTCGACCCCAAATTAAGACACATTCCTTGTCCCACGTGCGCGGATAACTTCGGATGCTTAGCGTCCACGTCTGGGATGCGACAGTCTAGGCCTGCGATGCCCGAGTAGAAAGGCTCGGTATCGCTGATGCTCGGTCGGACCTTAGACCAGGCCCCGTCAGCACCGACGACGAGGTCGAAGTCGGTTTCTTCATGATTGTCGAAAACCAAGGTTAACTTGGAGTTCTCCTGAGTGTGGATTTTGACAAGTTTGGAGTCAAAATGCACAGTCTCGGGCGAGAGCGAATCCAGGATCAGGTCGCGCAACTGCGTACGGTCGATCTCGGGGCGGTCGGCGAACTCTCCGGGACGACCGGGTTCGCCTCTACTCTCGTCCATGAGCACCGTACCGTCGGACGAGAATATCCGTAGAGTCTCGCCCTCCGGTCTGGCCAGCTTCTTGAACTCTTCGAGTAAGCCGGCCTCTTTTAAGGCCAGCTGCCCGGAGTCCGCATGGAGGTCCAAGCAGCCCCCGCGATTCTTCGCATGCCGGTCGACATCTCTTTCGAAGACGTTACATTTAATAGACGCACGTTGTAGCAGCTTCGCCAACGTGAGACCGGCCGGGCCAGCTGTTCTCATGAATTAGAAAATGATTGATGAATGATAGTGATGAATAGAAAAAACCCCTCTCTTACCTCCAACAATTGCAACATTCAGGGTTGCCATTACGTCGTTTTAGTTGGCCAAGCTATACTTAGTGAGCTTCGGTTCCAGACTCGCACGTGTATATGCGAAGGATGAAAGTATATCCAAAATTATAGCATCATTTAATAAGCCGCTGAGCCTCTTAGCCCGACCGAGTAAATACCTACCTAATCAGTCGATCGGTCGCCGAAGCCATAGCCAAGTCGGCGTGTTCTAACAGGGCCCATAACCACCGAAGTTCTAAAAATGGAAAATTACCAACATTGGCAATTGAAGTGTCTAATAATACTTAAAGTAGGTACTTTGTACTGTTATTGAGCCTCTACCCGTGAGGCTCTCACAGAGACGAATATTCCTAGTAACTGTTCGGCTCACTAGAAGCTTATTGTCGATGAAGATGTATGTTAGGTTGTAAGATAAGAGAGAACGTAAGTAGAAATATGATTAAAGAATCATTACCACCGAGTGGCGTCGACGTCCACGAGATAGCGATATTAGATGCGAACGACAGCAAAAAAACCATCGATGGAAACGACAACCGAAACAACAAGTTCGCCTCGATTATCATCCGAGCGATCTCGACGGTGCTTGGCGTGAGTGTGGATGAGATCCACTACACCGCAGATACCACTACCTTCATCAAGCTTGGAGGCAACTCACTATCCGCAATCCTCATCTCTGCAGAATGCCAAAGAAAGGGGATTTTGATACCGGCCGGCGTATTCCTGCGGATATCAACCGTGAAAGAGGTCATAACAACAGCTGCGAGCTTGGCCCAACGTATATCAAGACCTATACCTACAATCATAGTAACGGAGGATACCAGCGACGATGTCAACGGTGATATCAGCGGGGATGAGGCATCTATATATACAGCGATCACGACACCGGACCCGGAGACGGAAGACTTGTCTCTGTTTAGTTGTGGAAAGGAGGTTATCACGGCAGAAAGCCTTCTGAGTACAATCGACACCACCGAATGGACAGAACCGCAGCTACTTCTGCTTCGGGAAACCTCTCAAAACCACAAGTTAAACATATTGACCATACACGAGTCTTACACGGGCGACTGGAATGCCCAAGACGTCTGCGACGCGTGGGCGAATACGATTCTAGCGGAGCCGATTTTCAAGGATCTCCTTCGCGACTTGGACGTTTTACCGCAGCAACTTTTGCTCCGAGAGATAATTCAAGTTGACAATGAGGCCGATTTCCAGAGAGATATTCATCATGCAATTCACGCTACCGGTCCTATATCCAAACTCACAGTCGTACAGTCCTCTTCGCCTTCGGCATCGGGGGAAACGGCGAAGTCTACTGCTGTTGTCTGGCGAATACATCATGCGTTTATGGATGGCTACTCTGCCCGAATTCTGCGCGATAAAATCACTCGCACCTTGCGAGGAGGGGAGTTTGGTGTCCCTGCGGGCCCATCATTTAGGGAGACTGTGCGTTCTCTGGGAGTCTTACGAGAAGAGAGAAGCGAATCAACAAGGCGCTTCTGGGATAACAAACGCGAGCAATTTTCTGCTGCAATTGGCGAGTTGCGCCTGAGTCCGCAAAGGATAGCCAAGACAGCAGAGGTCCCCCCTCAGAAATCTGTTACAATCCAATTTCCTAGTGAACAACTAGCAGAAGCCGTTACGCGGACGGGATATACCACGACGGTGTTCTTCGCTGCAGCATGGGCTCTGACACTTGGCAAGTTCGTGGATTCAGACCAGATCTGCTTTGGAGTGGTGTTCTCAGGGCGCGATTTGCCGATCCCAGGAGCTTTTGATGTCGTTGGACCTCTGATTAACATCCTGCCGCTATTCGTACAAATACCCACCAAAGGCGACGAGACCTCTGTTGAAACATTCTTACGGCGGATTCATGATGACATTCTTGACTTAAACAATGTCCAACATTCAGACACCACAGAGGGATTCGATAGGAAATTCCACTCCATCATGGCTACGCAGTTCGAATGTGATGAAGAGGAGGTCCCAAGCCCGATACCTGTAGATCGGAACCGTCCCGATATGCGATCCGGGATTCCTCTAAACATCGTTATCGAAGAAGAATGCCGATTACAGATGCTCTATTCGACCTCTTATTTTGCAGACGAAGACATGAACAACCTGCAGTCCGTATTTAAAAACAGCATGAACTGTCTTCTGCAAGGAAACGACGCAAATCGACTAGTATCGAGCGTAAACGATGCGCTACTACCGCAGGATATGGAGAAGACGATCAGAGACTGGAGTAACTGCGCCTCCTTCGAGACCTTGGATGAATCCAAGGGGGACGATCTAGTAACGCTCTTCGAAAACGTCGTAGCGAGACAACCTAACGACCTGGCTGTCATTCACGGCGAACTCGAGGTATCCTACGACGACTTAGATCAAGCGGCAGCCATTGTCGCGCGGAAATTAAGTTGGATTGAACCCAACGAGGCCGTCTGCGTCTACGCCGACCGATCAGTAAACTGGCTCGTCGCAATCTTCGGCGTGCTGAAGGCAGGCGGAGTGTATGCTCCGTTAGATCCCTCGGCGCCAGTGTCCGTGCGGCAGGCGAATTTCATTCGGAGCGGGGCGCGCGCCGTGCTTGTTCCCTCGCGAGCTACATCTCAAAGCGTCGTCTCATCGCGAAAGGAAGAAGATGATGCAGCTCCGTTCCAATGTCTAGTATTAGGTGTTGATGATATACTCGCGGCGGACAGCGCCCAGGCGCGCAATGGCTTCTCGGCGTATTATCCAAGGAGGCGTATTGCCCGCCCAGATGATCTCGCCTATATCTGCTTCACGTCTGGATCGACTGGACAGCCTAAAGCTGTACAATGTACTCATAAGGGCTTAGTGGCCTTTCAAAAGGACCGGATTATTCGTCTAGGTGCTTCGAAAGGCGTCGTGGTTGCCCAGATAATGTCTCCCGTCTTTGACGGCAGCATACATGAAATATTTTCTGCATTGACGCATGGCGCCACGTTGCGATTGGCGTCGCCTGATCATCAGGGAGACCCCTTTTCGCACTTGCGGGATAGCGATGCGGCTATCTTGACTCCGTCTATCGCCAAGGCACTTGATCCAAACCAGTATCCTCGACTGAAAAATGTATGTAGATAGGTATAACATGCCTTTAACTAAAGAGAAAGCTAACATTCCCCTAGGTTTACCTCGTCGGTGAAGCCGTTCCCCAGTCCCTTTGTGAGACGTGGACTAAGAACCGCTCACTGTACAACATGTACGGACCAACGGAAACGACTTGTGGCGCGACGATCAAGCAGCTATTCCCGAACGAAGCCGTCTCCCTTGGTCGACCGAACCAGTCGAGCAGAGTGTACATTCTCGATCTTAGTCTTAGTCTACTCCCACCCGGCGCAGTTGGCGAGTTGTATATTGCAGGAATACAAGTATCACGTGGATATATCAATCTGCCGGAGCAGAATGCGAGCCGCTTCCTAGAGGACTCGGTAATGCCCGAGACCGGTCAGAAGATGTATAGGACTGGCGATTATGCTTATTGGAACAGCGCTACTGGAGAGATCTGCATCCTCGGACGCAAAGACCGGCAGATCAAGTTAAATGGCTTCAGACTGGACCTCGATGACTTAGAAGCACGAGTCGTAAAGGCCATTCCTGGATGTGGCAGTGCTGCGATATTCCGTCGCGACGATCATCTCATAGCAGCGTACCAAACTAATTCACCTAATGCAGTCAGCGCATTGGATGTGAAGGCGTTTGTCAGTAATGCCTTACCCCCGTACGCTATGCCCCGGAGGATCGTCGCATTTGAAGAGTTCCCTCTTACCGCGGCGGGCAAGCTTGACTACAAGACGATTGAAAAGTCCATCAGTGCAAGTCTTGCAGATACTAAGATGGAACCTCAAACTCAGAAGAGGGTTATGAATGCGACTGAGAAAATGGTCGTGGATGTCATCCGCGACCTGATGAAACTTGACCAGAGCGTACCTGTAGATCAAGACTCGAACCTCACGGAGCTTGGCTGCCATTCTATACTGCAGCTACAATTGGCGAGTCGAATATCGTCACTCATTCAGCGGCACTTTGCGGTACGAAAAGTCATCGAGAACCTTGTAGTATCACGTCTGGCATCTGCCATTGATGATGCACTGAGAGAAGAAAGTGTACTTGATCTTGCCGTTCCAGGGCAACCATCGAGTCTTGCTTCTGGCGGTATAAAGGCTCTCGGAGAAAGCGAGGTATCACCTATCGAACGCGATTGGTTTTCGAAATACCAGCGAAATCTTGGGACATCGTCGTTCAACGTATCCCACGTCTCGGAGTTGGACGCGTCCTTTGACCAACATCAGGCATTAGTATCAGCTTGGAATGTCATCCTTGCAAGACATGAGATTTTACGCTGTAGATTTCGCCAATCGGCAGACGGTAGTGTAGAAAGGTCCTATGCAGCCGAATCTCCCAAGGCTGTATACGTCGAGGATTTCGACGTCCGAGCTGCGATCAACAAGGAATTCTTGCTTGAGACGGAAGACCCGATCCGAGTACTGGTCTCGAAACGCCACATGCTGGTTTGTGTGAGCCATATCATATGCGACTACACAACTCTCGACCGTCTATTTGAGGAACTTGCGGCGGTATATTTCAATGATTATATTGAAGAATTATCCTCAGCCCCTCAGAAACGATACCAGGACACGACTTGTTGGAATCTCGACGTCGATCAAGCCACGGCTGATTTCTGGAAGTCGTACCTATCCGGCGTCGATTTTGCAGAAATGCCGCCATATATGAAAAAGCCTCGCACTTCATACCACGGAGAATCGCTGCTATTTCGACTCTCAAAAGACACAATGTCAAGCCTTCACACAGTCTCGCGTTCGCTACGTCTTACACTACATCAGATCGCTCTGGCAGTCGTGTCCCTAGTGCTTCAGGCTGACAATCCGTCAAAGCAAGACTTATTCCTCGGCAGTCCTTACCTCGGGCGACAGGAAGAAGACATCCGTACTATCGGACTTTTTCTTCAACCGCTCCCGATTCGTATCCGGAGACAGTCGGACCAAGACGGGGGTGATTTCAAGGGAGCCTCTTTAGCTACTTTCCTCCAGGCTGTGCAAGAATCCTCGCGTTCAGCCCTCGGTCACGCCGTCGAGTGGAGCTCTCTAATGGATATTCTTGCGTCTTCAGACGACGAGAAATTACGAGCAGCTGCGGCCACAGCGATTCCCAATAATCCGCTGTTCGACGCCATGGTGACTTTCCACGAGCTCGACACTACCGGAAAATCGTCGTCGTCCACTATTCCCGGAATCCAGCCGTTAGTGAACTGGGCCGAGGGTGCCAAGTTTGGCATCATGTTTGAATTCTCAGCCGTCAGCTCGTCATCAGTAACGCTCCGCGTCGAGTACGACACGTCGCTGTTTTCGTCAGACGAAGTGCGGCTCTTTGTTGCGCGGATCGATGCTGGGTTTAGATATTTCTGCGAAAACCAGGCATCTGTTAAACTTGGTGACTTGGAAGGTAAACTTTTGGATGTTGGAGTTGGGGGTTTGTCTGGCGGGATTGAGGATGTGGAATTTGGTACCCCTATTGCGGCTTTGACATAGGGGTAGTCCACGGGGGTTGATTAGGCTTGATTGCCACGGCGTTAGGGGCTATGATTGAACCCGTTTTACAGTAGGGGCGTGATACCATTTTTCATGTTTATGGAGTAGGGGGCATAACTACCAGTTTATTATTTTCATCTTTTTACATTTTATAGTTTACTCTTATATTCTACCTTCTTCTGTCAATATTGATCTTACATTTTACTAACATCTTATTCGTTTACAATGGCATGAATAGTGAAAACGAAAAGGTTCAGAGTGATTATGATTCCAATAACTTTATATTTCAGCGATAATGATATTTCTAACTACGTCAAACAGTCGTCCTCCGTCTAACCCAGATCATCTGCTCCATATCCGGCCCCGTCTTCTCGTCCTTGACCCAATTCTTCGGCCTCTCTTTCTGCCCTTCCGGAAACCCGAATTCATAGTCAATCAATAGCAAGCATAGTACAAGTTTGATCTGCGCACTCGCATACCACCGCCCCGGACAAGCCTGCCTCCCCGCTCCAAACCACGAGTCGCCGGCTGCCACGGAGCTGAATAGATTCGAGGTGTCGACTTCGGCGCTGGTTTCAGTAGACGGTGCGTAAAAGCGTAGCGGTCGGAACTCTAGTGGTGCCTCATATAGCGCAGGGTCGCGCGAGCGAGCATCGGAAGCGGCGCAGATATGAGTGCCCGCCGGAATAGTGAATCCGTTAGACAGAGTGATCGGTGCCAATACGAGACGCTGGAATGAGACAACACCGGCAGAATTAGTGCGGCCGCTCTCCTTCAGGAAACTCTCCATCTTGCGCAGCCTCAGCAGCGAAGTTTCAGTCCAGCCATTGGCACCGATCTCCTCGAGTGCCTCAGCACGTAGCTCCTCCAAGAACTCCGGATGAGCGCAAATGTCGTAGAGGATGTGGATTGCAGTGATGGCACTTGTGTGCATTGAAGAGACAATAAGGAAGAGGATTTTCAAGGCGATAGCGTCGGGTCGAGCGTCTTCGCCCTCAGCGGCCTCGGAGAGCCAGCGTACGAAATCTTTTGGTTGATCATCGGACTCGACTCCCTTCTTCTCTCCGAGGTGCTGCTGACGACCTTGAATGACGGGAGCCAAGAGTTTCGTCACTTGAGCAATATCGGCGCGAAGTTTCCGGCCGCATTGTAGAGTGTACTGTGCTATGGGACGTAGGGTGGGCGAGATGCGCCTCATGGTCATGGAGAAGATGGCCACGGACGCAGTGAAGCCCATGATAGTCTCGAGCCATACTGGGTCTCGCGATATAGCGGGATCATCAATGACCCTGCGGGAGGTGATTTGGCCGATTGCGGCGAAGATGATAGAAGATGCTTTGACGGGAGTGAAATCTAGTAAGAAGTTAGTATGATAGTAATAGTAGTGACATTTTCACTCAGCGCTTTTGATGAATGAGTGAGTGAGTGAGTGAGAACTACCTTTTGAGTTGCATTGGCTGAGAACATTTTTCAGAGCTAGATCTGCTTCTTCTTTCATCTGCGGCAACAAATTCCCTGATTCATTACTTATTAGTATTTTTCATTCCCCTTTCAAAGCATGCGAAGTAGTAGTACCTATGTTTTTGGTCAATTGATGCCTCACGATATCGCGATGGATATTCGTTCCTCGGACGGCATCGAGCTTGGTGTATTTTCCCATAAACCGATCTAAGAGCTCTTCCTTGAAGCTAATCCGGTTGTCCGGCAGGTTCTTCAGCTCCTCGATAAACTTATCCGGGACTACAAGACGCTCGTTGTCGCATGTTTGAATGACGTACGGAGTGTCTTTGTGCTATATGATTCTCTCAGTTGGCAAGGAATGATTGAGAGACGAATTTATAGAGATGTCTTAAACGAACCTGTTCGTAACCTTCCTCTAGTAACTGCTGTCCTCGGGCATAGAATTCATCTTTAGCAGCTTGAAGCCGCAGACCGAATAAACCCGGATCGATCCCAACTCGTGGTAGCCCCTTGAATCGTCTTCTCGATGATATCCTCTCTCTCACCCAGGCCGCTAACAAAACACCCACCAGAGCAATGACGACTGAAGATGCCGACAGCATGTTGGCCGGTTATGTGTAGGAAATAATACTATAGCAATAGATTATCAGATTTGACGTTCTTCCAGTATAGCACGTTGAGCAAGAATGAGCATCACGACATGGATTTAATTGACACTATTAGTAGCTCTTCTGCGGAACTTGGCATGGTAAGTCTCATAAATCTATTACTCTTAATCGTTGTCGTTACTGTAAAACCGTATCAATTGAAGGATCAATTTGGTAATCAATAATAACCTTGCGTTCATAGGACGATACACGCCTCATACGAGACACACCGATCAATGGCACGTCTGATTCGGCGTAGTCGGTATTGCCGCTATACTGAAGCAATAATACACTTTCGTACACATCTCAATTACACGCGCGCGGGCGCATTTACATCTATAATCGGCAATCGGTGACCGAAGGAATCGGCTAGTGCAACGAAGGAACATGCACGGTAGCGGCGTCCAGGATTGTTACCCCTACTAGTATCACGGACTATACTATTCATACTACCTGTCTATCTCCATCCGAGATATGTATTAGCGTGCGCGGACTGGATTTACAACACGATCCCGACCAACATCTTATTAGTGACACCCATCGCTCATAGACAAGCCCCTCCATCACAAGGATACTCAACTCACTTCAACTCATTATCCTATCAGAACAATAACAACTTCAAAAAGCTACACACAAAAACACCCAAACTCATATATACCACCGTCACAATGGTCTTCCGCGTATACATGCTCGCTGTCAAGGCCCCCGGCATCACCCTCGAAGAATTCAAGGACCACTGGGACAACAAGCACCTCAACCTACTCAAAGAAATTGCCGGAGACGCCTACCCCGACGTCCACGTCCACCGCTACCCAGAAAAGGTCCAGGGCCCTGCGGAAGCCCACTACGATGGCATCGGCTACCTAGAATTCAAGGACAGGGCGGGATTCTTGAGGTTGAAGGAGATTGCGGAGAAGCCGGAGAACCAGGCAAGGTTGGACAAGGATGAGAGGACATTTTTGGACAAGACTAAGATCCAAATGTACGTGGTGGATGATGAGGAATAAGGGACAAATTCGTAGTCTCTCACACATATGATGAGTTTTCAGGAACTTAATATCAAAGAAATGCACAATGTAATTTTTCCCTTCTTCTTGTGAGTTGCGCAATCATTCAATGTGATGACATAGAAAAGGTTCGGAGTTACTAGAGTTCTGATAACTTTGTATTTCAGCACAGTGATGTTCTAGGAATTTTGAACGCGAAAATAAAGTAAAATTTCATAGAATGCAGATATCGACGTAAAGCATCAACGTAAAGCATCGACGTAAGAACTATTGTATAGTTCTGGTTTATATGTACATGATATAAATAAAATACAACAAGATTGAAATGCCCGCTCCTAACCAGTTTGCCGTCCCCATAACCTAAATCTCCAAGTTTCCCCTTTATTGAGCCTGGGGATATTGATTTTGGGGATATTGATTCTGACTATACCGATGTTGAACATATTGCTCCGGGAGACCTTGAGGCTTCCCGCTGGGGTGATACTGATTCGTAGCAGTGTATTGATACGTCGGCCACTGGTTATCAGCCAGCTTTGTCGTTGAGCCCATATTCTCCATCGGGATGTGGCCCATGGGATTCGCCTCGACATCTACCGAGTACTCGACCTTGCGCGAGATGCTTCCGTTCTTGTCGCCCTTGGTGCTGCCGAGACGCATCCACGTCGGCCTTAAACCTGAGGCTTCGGAGCCGCTGGCGGGGCGCCATGTTGAGAAAGAGATGAGCCTAAGAAAGGGAATCTTGAAGATTCGCTGCAGCGCTGCGGGCATGACGGGGAGACACGCGTTGATGATGCCGAGGTTGATCTCGAGTCCGGACCATAGGGCGTCGTCGACGACCGTCATGGTGAAGTTCAACTTCGCTTCCGGGGTGGAGAAGTGGACCACGTTGTATGTACGCCACGCAGTAGCGAAACAAACACTGAGGAATTCGTTAGTTTCATAGGTAATAAAATGGGAGTATATGATGTTAGAACTTACAAAATACCGAGGCCGAAGACGACAGTCAAGGCGATCTTCTTGCGCGAGTTCAACTGCAGCGTCCAGAGCATGGGCATCGGGAGGACCAGGATGCACACGTCAAGGGTGAGGTTGAAGATGGAGCTGAGGAGAAACTTCATGCTCAAGTTGCCGCAGTGCTGCAGAGCTGCAGGGCCGACCTCCCAGTTGTACTTGATCGGCCTGCAGATAGCGAAGAAAGTTATCGTGCAGCCGACCAGGTACGCGATCGCGCATCCCTCGAAGAAGTAGACTACCATGCGGAACTTCTTCACGGAGAAGACCTGCGCGATGAAGTCGAGGATGGATAACCGCACGAAGGTGTTGGCCCACGCTTGCAGAAGCCATGCTACGATGAACGACTGGAGATGGAGTTAGTTGATGTTGGACAAGAAATGTAAAGGGGTTGATATGGTTTACCTTTTGTGTAAGTGTACGCTGCGGAGGAGCCACTTGTACAAGCGGGAAGCCAACGCCGCCTTGTTTAGCCACTATGCACACCAGTTAGTCGATCGATCATCTACAGCGGGGGGTGAAAAAGAAGTCTTCTTCTTCTTTTATTCTTACCTAGCCAGCAGATGGAAAGATATCCCGCCGAAAAGACGGCAGCAACAATGATAGCATAGTCAGTAAACCGAAGCGAGATCTTCTTTATGCGCTTCGCCCACAGTCGAAGGCCGATACATATTATCGCCAAGATGAAGAATGTGGTTACGGGCGCTACCAGGAGCACGGCTCTGGGAGGCAGCGACTCTTTCGCCGGGTCGATGAACGGCCCTGTTGGGACCGCTGGCGTGGCACCTGCTGGGCTGCTCATCGTGTGGTAGAGCGATGGGGGGAACAGACACGGTGAGTGAGCGAACGAACGACCGATCAAACGAACGACTCGGACGAACTGGAGATAGGGAGGGGAGGCAAGGCCAGTGTATAGCACAGTAACTGGACCAGAGGAGTTGGGGATACTTGGATAGATATTCTTCGAACCCCTCAGCCATACCTGCGGGCGTCAGCCATCTCTATGTAGGAAGGTATGCCATTATGGCACTAATGAAGCATCCATATACGGTTCAGTTAACAATATTGATACGCCTAAAGCGACTATGCATGGTTCTAGATCTGCTTCACACATTCCTACGTTCCTGGCTGCAAGGCCGTTGTTACGGTACTTTGTACCCTGCCAGACGTATCAAGTATATAGGTAATGTCCTCGTGGGGTTTACTACTACCTAGGTTAGTTCGTTAGTTCAATACTATTAATAGAATTAACTAGTTAACCGCTGAAAGTTGGACTTTCGTCATGAGGCAAGGCTGTGCCCTACGTAGTAGGTATTCGACTTATTAGCGTAAGGGGTTTAAGTAGTATCTCGCTTCCGCACTTTACAACATACCTAACGTAGCATTGCCGAAGCAGCGTGCGATTGAGCCGGGGGTTGGGAGCAATTGAACCCTTACCACGTTTTTCACAGCTTCCCTATGTGGGTGTAACAGGAACATGTGAGTGGCTCGATTGATACACTGGCTTGCTGAAGGATTTCTGGAGTTAAAGGTGATACATGAGATGAGCGCTGTAGGTACTATGATGAATTGTTATCGCTGCTCTTAGAGTCTGCTTTTTGTTTGTATGTGAGATATGATATAAGTGAGATTTTCTTCTTTTTTTCCTCGTCTTATTCATCATTTAGCGTACCTTGTGTAACCGCAAAACCAAAGCTGAAGACTTTCTTTTTGTAAATAGACAGGAAGGTCTAGTAATCACTCTCTTCAAATCCGGAATTCGGTTTACAAGGTTCCTGCAATGTTCTTATTTTCCGTTACATTCTTTCAACTTGCGTTATACTCGTAGACGGACGTAACGGTTTTTGTTGGTTTTTGGTCCCCCCGCTGTATTCCTCGTCGGACCGCGTTCTGTACAAGGAAAAGGTTGAAGCAATTGTAGATCTTGGCGGGGCTAAGTTGGGCAGGTCACGCGGCAAGGGACTGGGGTGACGGACGAATTCCGGGTATGATATCACCACGTGGTTTTCCGCACATGTGGTGAAAATGAATCTTGAATCTGTGTACGAATCCGTACACTACAGTACTACCCAGGGCCTGCAAGTAACGGTTGTACTATGCGAAGCATAACGCTCAGACTGTGGAGGGTGGAGGGTGGAGGGTCATGAATTATTCTGATTGGTAGCCTCGCAACACCTGAGGATATTAAACTCCCGTATTGTTTTATTGTAATTATTATAAGTCTTTTTTTCATTGTTTGCTTACCAATTGATTAGAACATTTCCCACGGATATATCTCAATTAGTTATTTTTTTTGTCAATTTATTACATTGTTGCAATTGAAGGACTCCATGATTCCTACGGAGCTGCTTCGCATTCTAGGTACAAAGATAATGCAGGATTGAGGCGAAGCACCTTTTTGGAAAATTGGATTATGGCTACATGTAGTTCTTGAAACCCCGCAGACTGCAGATCAAGTACGTATTACTCTTATGGTAACATTCGCTACTTTAGGTACTTAAGTAGTTGTTGGTCCTAGTGTACACTATGTATACGCCACTTTAGGCCGCTTAAGTTGGAGAAGGATCACCAATCGGTCCTTTCGTTCAGCCTCATAAAAGCGGGACTCTATCGCTCTCTACGGTTGACCAGACAGGCCACTGTGCCAAAATGAAAAAAATCTGTGAGCTTAGCTTAAAAGGGTAGTCAGCCACAGGTTAGCGCAATTAGCTCGAATTATTACGGTATTTTACACTTTCGTATAGGGAAAAAGGATTATCTTTTTTAAATATATACATTATAACGTTATATATAATATGCTTTAAAAAGGTAATCTTTTATTAAATCAAAAGATTTAATTACACATTTAAATAACTTTACAATTTTAACAATTATAACATTATAATTAATATTGTTTAATAGCTTTAATTAATGCGAAAATAATGATTCAGGTTGCATGCTTATACAATATGTTATTTTTAAGATATTTAAAGTCTTTTGAAAACAGTCGTCTTAAAGGGTATCACGTGTACGTACAGGTCTCTGGGATAATATAGGTACTTAGGTACGGGGCGGCTTCCTACTCTTTTTAAGATGCGCGCCCTTCTATTGGCTAAATCTTACACCGCCCGTCTGGCAATATCCTTATCCTTATCCTTATCCTTATCCTTATCCTTATCCTTATCCTTATCCTTATCCTTATCCTTATCCTTATCCTTATCCTTATCCTTACACCATATTACAGCCTTATGTTCAATTCAATTCAATTCAATTCAAATGACGATGCAATGGCTATCTATCCTTACATATTTCTTTTACTTGGTTGCATATATTGGTTAAAGACTATACGGTCGCATGCAGTCATTCCGAGGCAAAAAGGCTGAAAACGAGGTCTTTTTGAATGATCTCTGATATATGTATATGTATGAGGCTGGCTGGCCAATCAGGAGGCTGTATTATATAAGGCTATTTGATTAGATTTGAGGCTAGGTGCCTATCATCCCAGAGACCTGTACGTACACGTGATACCCTTTGAGACGACTGTTTTCAAAAGACTTTAAATACCTATCTTAACAACAATACATCGTATAAGCATGCAACTTAGATAATTATTTTCGCTTTAATTGAGGCTATAAAATGATACCAATTGTAATGTTATACTTGCTAGAATTGTAAAGTTATTTGAATGTGTAAATGTGGTAGTTGAAAATTAAATTAACAATTAAATCCTTTAATTTAATTGGCCAATCTCTTACATTATATTGGTTAAATCAATATCTCTATTACAATAAACCGTAATAAGGCTTAGAAGTATACATTTAATATTTTCTAAATTGTGGCAAGTGACCTCTTACCAACTTTAGTTTAGTGTGCGATTATTTTTTTCATTTTGGCACAGTGGCTTGTCTGGTCAACCGTACTCTCTATCTGCTGCCAAGCTTGTTGGCTTACTGCTTCGTCACACGTGCCGTTAGATTTACCGGTAAAATAATTGACTAACCTTCATCTGCAACACGTACCTAAACACGTACATACATAGATACTTGCCTAGGTAGGTATTTAAGCTAAATCATGCTAAACTTTAAATAAGCTTAATCAACCCCCCGGGACTCTGACCCCCCTTTTCTCCCCTTTCTTTATCTTTACTGGTTATCATTCGTAACGCAGAGGTATTTTATAGAGGTAACTTCAAAGACTACCTCTTTAGATGCATGTATACAAAACGGTTGCGTTACGTGCATATTCGTAGGTCGAGCCTCGTCTTAAATTGTTGCTGTGTTACTCGCCCCCAACGCCCCCAACGCCCCCGGCTCTATTGCATTGCGCTAGTAACAAATCGACTTCGGCAGCCAATCGCTAGAGGTCCAAGACGGCTTCCTACATAGCTAGCTTGAATCTCTCAGGTAATCAGGCTGTTGTGTAATATGCCGTAGGGGCCGTACGATAGCTGTTCTCCCCACCCCTCCCCCCTCTGTAACCCCATCCCAATCCGCCCCCTCTCAGTCCCCCGCTTGTCCTATAGGCAAACAAGATCGGCGAGGTTAGCGAATAGAAGAGCTCGGCGAGGTTGAAAGACGACCGTTCGGCGCGGTCATCCGTAAGGCGGAGTAGCGATGAGGATAATAAGGATATCTCCTGCTCTCTTCTTCACTTCTTCTCCTTTTGATCGAACAATGAACCATCTCACATTTCATTTGTTGAGTATATACTACCGAATCCTCTAAAATCCACCAAGTTTATTTCCGCACTTTTCGTCATCCGTAGCTAGGATTTGTGTTTTTCCTACCCTACCCACGTCGTCTTCTCACCATGGTTCTCACTGCCCCCCCTGCCGAAGTGGCCATTATTGGCGGAGGTCTTGCCGTAAGTAGTCTGGCGTCTGCCCCTGGGTCTTTCGAGTCGATTAGCGTCGATCCACGCCGTCTTGTCGCGCCGTCTTCTGACCCTTTGTGATTGTGGCTTTTGCTGATGCCCCCTACTCGTAGGGCCTAACCCTCGCTCTGGCGCTGCACGATCTGAATATCCCCTCTACGGTCTACGAGGCCCGCTCCGCGGATTTCGACCAAGGGGGTGGTATTATGCTATCGCCCAACGCCCTGCGGGTCCTCGATAGCGTTGGTGTCTACAAACGTGTTCGCGATAACTCGCTACAATTTGACATCCTCACCTTCAAGGATGGCCAGGACCAGACTACTGATGTGTACTACTTTGGCTCTGAGGAGCTATACGGCTACCATGCCATCCGTATCATGCGTAAAGAACTTCTAGATGAGATGAGGGCCATGGTGCGGGAGCGCAACATCCCGATTCACTTCGATAGTAAATTGACTGCCATCACATCCGATGGCCCTGACAAGGTCGAGTTTACGTTTGCGGACGGACGCGTCGCATCCGCTCCTCTCGTAATCGGAGCTGACGGAATCCATTCGACTGTGCGTGGGACTTTCCTACCTGAGGTGAAGCCTATGTACGCCGGTTTCATGGGCATCAACAGCGTTGTGCAAAGATCTCAGCTTCGTATCCCTGAAGGCTACAGCCTACCCGCGACCGTCCTGGCCAAGCCGGGCGCGTTTCTGCTAGTCCCCCAAAAGCCGGACGGGTCAGAGCTTTTCATTGGCTCGCAGAGGCGATTTCCCGCGCTGGACGCCGCAGGTTGGGAAGCGCTGAGGAAGGACAAGCAAAAGCTGTATGACATGCTTCAAGAGAATAAGTCTGACTGGCCGGATATCGTACAGTCAGCACTGGAGGCGACGCCAGTGGACCGGATGGGATTTTGGGCCTTCCACGGTATACCGCCCCTAGCATCGTGGCTATCTGAGTCCAAGAGAATTATCCTAGTTGGAGACGCAGCGCACGCAATCCCGCCAACTGCCGGTCAGGGTGCCAACCAAGCTTTCGAGGATGTGAGAGCACTGGCCACTCTGCTCTCGAAGCTCTCGCCCGAGGTGCCGCTAGACAAGGCTGCCGCGCAATGGCAAACCTATCGCCAAGCGCGAGTTAAGAAAGTCCTCGACCTAACTAACCAGATGAACGCGAAACGTCTACCGGAATCAGAGCGAGCTAAGCTGCCTCCGGGCGCTATCTGGAGTGACCAGTCGCTCACCCGTGGTGAGGGTGGAGAGTTACGTTGGCTGTATGATCCGGATTTGGCACAGGAGGCTGAGAAGTGGGTGGAAGAGCTCAAACAGGCTGCTAATCCTTGAAAGCAAAAAAAAGGCTTGTCCAGAATTGGAGCCTAGCGATGACTATGTACCTAATATTATTATCCACCTACCTACCTGAGTAGGCATGTACCTGATTAGCCTTGCAAGTGTTGGACTTTCGTAGCAGACCCATGAACAGAAAGTCGTTTCCACCTTGGGGTCCGTAAATACTACGTTTCGGAAATGGAGTGCTGCTCCTGTAAGTACGCTACGATTTCGATAGCAACGTAAAGGTTGGGAGTCGGTATAATATGTTGGCAATAGTGCAAAAAACGTACCAACAATATTATTATTTGTAAAGGCTATGGGTTATATTTTGTGATACGCTTAGGTAATTGGTAGATTTGGAATTATACGAACCATCCAACACTGTTCAGGTCTTATGTTAATAGGCAGTGTTACCGAAGCTATTGTGGAGCGGCCGTCGAAGGATTTTAAATATAGCATCTCCCGGAGGCTAACTCATTAGTGTACAGCCAAACTCATAGCGAGGTAACAAAGCAGCAAGGGTATGCTGATTCGTTTATTGAACAAACGTCCTCGTCGTTACTCGTTACTCGTCACATCGCGCGCATCTCTTGTCAGCGAGCTGATCCACCATACCACACTCTTCCCTGCTGCGCCCCCGTTTGTCTTATTAGATACTACATATGCGCAGTACTCCGGAACGCCAAGCCAACGTTGTCGTACATCAGCTAGCAGGTAAAAGTAAAGGAATCTAGACGATACCTTGTTGGCCCCGCAGATGAGCGAGAGAGCCTACCTAGGCTTGCATTTTGGCGTCACTAGACTAATTATGCCCCTGTCGACGAGATGATAAATCTTAAATCTATGAATCTGTGGTTCCTGGATTCTTGAAAGAATATGTACGGGGAAGAATACCTGCACGACGTCTAGCTTGACAATACGCCTGAGGGTCTTGTCGAAGTCCAATCGCTTTACTTAGCAGCAGGAAAAACGGCCAGCCTCTTCTTCACATCTCGCTGCAACGTGGTTCACGATGACGACACTAATTGGTGGTCGTACGGTCAATGCGTCGAGTGCGTCGCCAAGCACTGATCGCAAAAAGCGTCTAGCTTGCGATAACTGCCATCTCTCAAAGGTGAGTGAGTGGAGGATGATGAGACGTTGCTTAATAAATGTTAAATAAAAATTAGTTACTAACAACTTGCTATAGGTTCGCTGCACCGGCGAGCTCTCTGGTTGCCAGCGCTGTGAGCGTGGCAGCAAAACATGCCACTACAGCCAGTCGAACATGGGCCGCACACCAGTAGATAGAGCAAACAGGAGACGCAAGTCAAGCGTTGCCAAAGCCATGGGCTCGTATATCACCAGCCCTGGTGGTAGTCATCATCAGCAGCAGCAACCACACGACTGGAATTCGTCTAACAGCCTATCTAGCGGGGTTGGCGACGCTGAGCAGCAGATCGAGCAGAACGGGCTACAGTTCCCCGGTTCGTCAGTAGAAAGAAACTATAGCCTCCATCATCATAATCGACCAGCAAGTGATTCCATGAGTATCTCAGACGAACCCACCGGTCAGCAGCAACGAAAACACTCGGCAACATCCATGTTACTTGATAATATCGGGGACGATCTTCAAAGCCCCGGTTTTGACCCGCTCATTTCGAATTTCGAGGATATAGACTTTTCAGATATCGATGATAATCATTTTGAAGTTATCGGAACTCCTTTAGATTTAACATTTCCTCGGCTCATTAGCCCCCAATCTCCTCGAGCTTCACCATCTCGACAACAACAGCAGCAGCAACAGCAACAACAACAGCTTCATACAACACAACTCTTTGGAACTTCTTCCTCAACAACGACATCAAGCTACCAGGGCCCTGGTTCCGGACAAACGCCCGGTACACCGCATTCTTCTGGGGGTGACGTCAACTACTGGACGACGCAGCTTGAAGAGCTCTCCCGCAGACCACACAAATCACCCATGCCGCTCGATGAAGTGCTTCATCAGAGCTCACAACTCCTTCCACGCGTCACTGAGGCTCTCCGCGCATTGCCTTTAGCAGACCCGCTATCCTCTACGCATATGATTCTCATATTAGTCTGCCTCACGCAGGTGATTACCTTCTTCGAGCAGTGCATGCCGTCCATAATCTGCGGCCTCGCAAGTACCGGATCATCCGGAGACCTCTCACTGCACCTTGGCGCCTACCAAGTCGACCGCGAGGTCCAGCAAGCTTTACAGATGCACGTTGTAGGAAAGGAATTGTCAACGGTTCTCCAAGTATCCAAGCTGATCAAGCAGACACTGCTACAGCCGGATTGGAATAACGTCTCCAAGCGGACGCACGATCTTCTGCTTGAAGACTTGCAGGTCAGGACGAAGACGTTGATGTATCAGATGAAGCAGAAATGGAGTTCGGCGCGGCGTCTCGCGCTATGAGAGCGATTGCCATGTATGTAAATCAAAACTTGTTTGTATGGGTAGCTAGCATGGGCACCAGAGATGTAAATTAGGTAACGAGTCACGATAACGTACCGTAAATCGGCACGTAAGATTATGCTTATTTTTCATCCTTGTCGACTACTACGCAGAAACAGTCTACTATAAATAGTAGCTGCTAGAATCGTGTCCTGCATATACATAGTATCTCGGGTCCTCGCAATTTTACAATGCTTAGCTTGCCGATCGCATGGGGACGGGACCCTACGTGCCTACCTACATTCTCTGTAAGGCAAGACAAGACATTAAATCCAGTAGGGCCGTCAACTAGCGCGTTCCGCATATAGAGCGTCTTCCTCCCTTAATTCGCTAGGTACTAACGACGACCTACCAAATTCTTTGATATCCGGCTTTACGCAGCTTAGTTAGTACTATTTACGGGTAAGTCTAACTACGAGTCATGTCTAAGTCTGTGCGTAAATCTCAGTAGTGTAGCTTCGGCGTAGTGCGTCTTTATTTAGTTCCCGAGAGTTCGGCTCCCGGATCGGCGGCCGACTGACGCTCGGCCCGGACTCCGTATGCCGTAACGTTCGCTTCACACAGTGCGGGGGTTGTACAGTGATGATGTGTAACACAGGATAGCTTATACGTCGGTTCCCTTTTAGAGACCCCATTGCCGTTATCTATTGCTAGATATTCCATCTCCTTATAATCGCGAGATGTGAGAGCTAGCGTCAGTAGAGGGAACTTTTGCTAAAATATATCCACACGCAGTACGGTGGTTAGCGTCATGGGTCAAGGCTCGGAGGAGTCAGCCCCTAGATATGGTTCCCGGCACTAAGACGGGATCTGTTGTACCATACTCGTAGAGGATTTCAGCTGTGGGTAATCTGCAGACTTGGCTTGACTTGTAGTTTCTTTTATCATAGCCCAAGGGGCCTCTTCGTTGATTTCTAGTTAGTGCTTGTAATCCCTTACTCCAGAGACTTGGAATTTCTATCGTAGTAATTAGCTGCGGAGTGCTCCGTACAAATTGGTACGATGTCCTCTTCACAGGGTTACATTCCTGCCAACGTTCCCTTTCCTATCGCAATTCTCGCTGCAGCCGTCGGCCTGGTCTTCATACTACGAAGCCAAATAATACAGACATGTCTTAAGTCCTTGCTTTCCAGTGTAATTAACGTGAGTACTTCTAAACCTAGTCGTCCGCTTATTCAACTAACAGCCAACTCCTAGACAATCTTATCTAACCGCTACCAAATCAAACATGTGAAGAATGGTTCTGATTTGCCATCACTTCCATATGTCTTTCCTAATGGCCAAGGAAACGTCGAGAAGTTTCTGAATGGACGTGCGAACAGCGCCAAGTGGGAGAGTGAGCATGGGAGTCTTTATCGCCTATGGTCAGGGATGAAGGGGGAAGTGTGAGTATCCTAATTCTCCCCCTAGTCTCATCTTCATAACTCAATGCCGCTACCAATATGAATACCAAGCAGATTGCTAACATATCTCGTAAGCGTTCTAACCAAGCCCTCTCATGTAGAGCTTGTATTCCGTGATTCTCACACACACATCAAGGCCCACGCAAATGACAGTGGTTACCTTATGGAACGTCTTCTGGGATCTTGCCTTGGTCTCATCAGCGGCTCATCCTGGATCGCCGTTAAGACCGGGGTCGAGACGCCGTTCCTACACCGTTCAACGAGCGCATATGTTGCTGATGTACAGGATTTCACCAAGTCGTACATGCGCACCTTGGGCGCAGAGAACAAGACGCTTAGGGAGCAAGGAAAACTACATCCCGTGCGTGATTTAAAATTACTCCCGTTCCTCTTCGTCGCAAGGGTTGTGTATGGGCCGCTGGATGCGATGCTAGAGCGAGAGCTTAGGGATTTGATCCCAAATAGAGAGGATTTATTCAAGAACGTGATTAGCGGGGGAATCACAAGATTCCCTATCTCGCGATTCCTCCCACTCCCAGCAATACGCGCGCTTCGCCATTTCAAAGAGCGCTGGGCAGACTGGAATGATAGGGCGTACGCGCACGCTCTCAACACCAAGGGATCCGACGCAGCCCCTATCATCGGGATGTACGAAGCCGTCGAGAAAGGGACTATGTCACGCGAGGAACTCCTGCAGACTCTCGACGAGATGATGTTCGCAAACATTGACGTGACTATGGGCGGTATGTCATGGACCCTCGTGTTCCTAGCGACCCATCCAACTGTACAGAAAGCGCTGCGCAGCGAGATCCTCGCACATTCCTCAGACCCAGCGACACGCAATGCTTATCTCCTTTCATCATGGACGACAACACCCACTCTCCTAGGCGCGTCTATCCTAGAGTCCGCACGCCTGCGCCCGCTCGCCGCGTTCTCCACACCACAGGCATGCCCGACGCCGCGCGTCCTCGACGGCTACGAAGTCCCCGCAGGCACTAACTTCGTCGTCGATTCGTACGCGCTCAACATCCGGGACCCGTTCTGGGGCGAGGACCGGGAGCGGTTCCGACCGCAACGGTGGCTTGAGCGGCAGAAGGGCGGACGCGACTTGCGGTATCGTTATTGGCGGTTTGGGTTTGGTCCACGGACCTGTCTGGGGAAGTACGTCGCGGAGTTGGTCCTGAGGAGCGTGGTTGTTGAGATCTTGGAGACTTGGAATATTTCGTTGGATGTTAAGGTAGGGAGGCAAGAAAAGGAGAAGAAAATTGGTGGTGATGGGGAGGAGGAGAATATGGATTGGCCGTGGGATGATGAGATGTGGATCCATCATCCGGATCTTTTGCTGAAGTGTGACTCTTTGACGAGGTAGTCTACGAAGGAGGTTGAGTTGAATGAAAGGGTAATTTTGAAAGAGTCGGGTCTGGTATAGGCTGTTGGCTATTCATCTGTGTAATTCTGGCCATTTCAAAGGCATCTAGTGTATCACGTTATATCCTGCGGCCCCCATGATGATAAAATATGATGTAGTATTTCAAAATTCCAACTCTAGTAGCTTGCTTGCTGGAAAGGAGCAACACGACCTAATCATAGTCCCGGCCTTTCCACTTGCTTCTTTTGCCTCTTTCCCAGCGTTCTTCGAAACTCGAGCTTCCCCCTTTAAGATCCTTACCTCGCAAGTCCCGCAATCGCCCTCCCGACACGCCGATTCTGGTTGTTCACCTCCACCATCTCTCTCGAGAAGTTCAAGGAGTGAGAGAGCTTCAGCTTTCTTCCATTTGGCCTCTTTCGTTCGAAACCGGACGATTGACTCCTCTGGTAGGTCTGTCCCGTCCGCCGCCGAAACTGATAAATCGTCAAGTTTGAAATCCGAATTTGACGAGAAAGTTTCGTAACGTATAGCTGGCGGTGGTACTTTGCAGCGTCCAAGGTAGTCCCGTGTGGTATCTACAAAGTCTGGTGGGCCGCAAATATACGCGTTGGAGACGTTTCCTGGCAGTTCAATGGCAGTGATTCCTAGTGGATCGATAAAATACGATGGGCTTAACAACGTGGTAAAGAATTCGAACGTAGGTCGCCCTGTATAGTCGAAGTCTCTACCCTGGACGTCTACACCAGTAATTGGAGAGGTATAAAATGTGATCATGCGGAATAAGCTGAATGATGGGAGTTCCGATCTAAAATGGGAGGTATTTTGCTCGCCATTCCGGGCGACGTGGATAAGGATCGCGGGTGTTTTTTTCAAAGCCGGGTGAGAAAAATGAGCTTGGAGCATGCTGAGGATCGGAGTCATGCCTATTCCAGCGCTGATGTATATCTTGCGAGGGGGGAACTCCCGGCTTAAGTCAGGGACAAACGATCCAGACGGTGAGCGTGCTAATATCGTGTCCCCAGTTAGGACATTGGAGTGAAGATAACGAGAGGCAGCCGGCCCTTTCTTAACCGTGATACGGTAAGATGGCGGGACTGAGGTAGAGGAGGAGGGCGACCAGGAAGAAATGGACCAGCGGCGGATGTCACCAGAGGGCAATTTTACAGTGAGAAATTGTCCCGGGAGATAGGATGCCAAGGGCTTGTCATCAACAGCATTCAGATAGAAAGACTTGATATTTGCAGACTCATCAACCACTTTGACGACCTTTAGCGACCGCCATCCAGCCCATCGGTTCTTCCCTGCTGCTTCATTATCCTCGATCATCCCTAGCTTACGAGCGATGACCTGTCTGTTCATCTTTTGCAAGTTGGGCACACGCAGGATACGCTCTGCCAACGTACGAGTAGCAGGATCTCCGAGCGGTGAGAACACGCACTGGGCAATGCTGCCGGCCGGAACCGTGTATTCTTGATCAGTCGGGATGATTTTCGCTGTGGCACCGGGCGCGATAGAACCTCCGCGCACGACTTTCAGGTAGACACCGCAGAAGCCGGACTTAGCGACCTCGGCTAGCCAACTACCCGGCTGTCCGCATCGCCACGCGAGCCGCGAACACGGACTTCGCCCCCCTACAACCTCGAGAATAACCCCTTTATTCTCAACTCCTTGGTGCTCACCGTTCACGTCATCATCAGGGGACGAAAATACCCACCGATCTCCCAAGTTGATGCTCCACTCATCAATCCCATCTGGCGCTTTCAAGGTCAAGTTCTCTCCCCAAAAAGCCCAATTCCATTCAGACCGCTCGATGTTCAGACGTGACGTCCAGTAATCATAATGATGGGCGAAGAATGCGTACACCTGCGCATCGTGAACGGCAGACTTGTGTCCCTCGATACCTCCCTCGGGAGTGAGTACCAAGGGTGTCGTTGAAGGAGACCGAACGATAGCTGTGAGCGTTGGCTGAGAGTGGATATCGTGGGTAGCCGGTCGCGAGCGCGAAACCGCCACTACGGTGAAATCCGAAGAGGGGGTCAAGGAGTTGGAGTCATGAACAGGAGAAGCGAAGCGGGGTTCGATTTTTGCAGGCATGTTGTATAGTAGATAGCGGATAGTGTTGCTATAGTGTTACCCCAAGAAGGAGGGTATCAAAGAAGAACAAGAACGAGGAAATATATAGAAATGGGCATCCTACGAATATTATAAGTAGCTTTGGGGGGTTAATGCTACCTTGTTTGGAAGGCGATTGGCTACATTCCAATGGCGAATACTTAATTCTTGAACCAGGCATAGAGTCCGGAGAACTTATATATAATCTAGGATTGGTGCCGGACGATCATCATATCCCTTTAGCTAAAATCGGCCCCGATCCGCCAGGAATTCGGCCTCGGTTCGTGAATGAACAACGTATAGAAACGGGATATCTCCGAAAAGACCCACCATCTTATAGCTAAGATCCCGAAACCCACGCTTGAAGTCAAGTTACGCGGCCTCCGATCATACAACCTACCGACAGCTTTACATCCCAATGAACGCCATAAACAGGCCCCGGATGTGACTGATCCCGTACGTTCTCTAGATTGTCTAAATTTCAAGAAGACACATCCGTGAACCCGAGGAGATCTAAACTTGATTTTTGAAGTAAATTGAATCATACCGTTTCCAATTTCAAAATCCGCTCGTCTTTCAATTCGTATTCACGTCTCTCTAAACTCTTTACGCTTTCTCACCATTACCCAACGTCCCATTTTCCTCAGCCTTTACTTCAGTCCCCTGGCCCTCCTCGGCGTCCTTCGTCGGCTCTCCTCCCTGAGGCCTCTCAATCCTCTTGAATCCTAGCGTCAACCCGGTCAATAAAGCAGCACCCGCAAACGCAATAGCCATAGCCCACGCAGCGTGCAATCCATCCAAATAGCTTTCGCGTATGCCCAATAGTTGGTCGCCAGGAAACACGCGTTGGAGATCAGTAGCTCCGGTTGCGATGATGGTTGCGCGGTCGGCGTCTGGGACACGAATGGAAGCGGCGGAGAGTAAGCGGTTTATAAAGAGGGATTGGGCCGCAGCTACGGACATGGCACCTGATAGTAGCTGGAAGACTGTTGACGAAGGTAAGATGGTTAGCGCTTTTTCTTTATGCGACTAGCAATATGTATATGAAGCAGGCTGCGGGTGCATCTCATGCTCGTAGAGAGACTGAGACCGGGATGAGGGCTTGACTCACAAAGAAGGGTGGACATTGACGTTGCTAAGTCTTCAGGCTTAGAAAAGGCCTGTACGACCGTAAGAGGGATCTGCTGGCACGCGCCATTGCCGATACCGACTACGAACTGATATCCGAGGTATGCTCCTGCGTACGAGTCTACTTCGAGGGTGTAAAGTAGTCCGGCACCAATCGCGGTTAGGCTGGCACCAATAAGGAGGTAAAGTTGATAGAAGGGGAATTTCGTAAAGAGAACACCGCTGACAATAACGGTCACGGCTATTATGTGATGTTAGTAAGTGTCGAAAAGAGGGCCTGGAAGAACTTACAGGCAGAAACAATGAGTGGCAGGACTTGAATACCACTCAAAGTCGGACTAGAGCCCTTTACAGATTGGAAGTAAAGCGGAAGGTTGTAAATCATCATGAAGTTGGCGCAGCTCAGTCTAATTTTCACTTGTTAGTTAAAATTGAAGGAGTACGCATCTCGATGACACTTACAAGAACATGAAAGCCGCGCCACCCCATACGTGTCTTTGCGCGAGGATTCGGGGGACGATCGATGCTCGCTCTTTTAGGAACCATTGCACCACACCAAAAGCAATAGCAAGAAGAATCCAGCCGATGAGCGTCCCGATCACGTCCGCGCTGTTCCATGCTTTCGACACGCCACCCCATTCGAGAGCGAGGAAGTAGCATATAATAGACGTAACCGCAAGGATCGTTCCCAAAGGATCCAAACCTAAGAGCTTCTCCCTCAGAGTTGCTGGCGCAGGTGGCATACTTGGCTTCGGGAATAGAGCGAAGAAGATAATGGATGCGGCGCCACCAATAGGTAAGTTGACGTAGAAACTATATAGCAGTAAGTATCACAGTTAATCACAAGTAAGCAAGGACAGACGTACCACCACCGCCATGTAACTTCTCCAGTAAAGGCTCCCCCAACCAACGGACCAGCTACACTCGCAATGCTAAAAGCAGCACCTATACCGCCGATAAAAGCCGGTGCTTTTGCGGCCGGGACAAGATGAGCAATGATAACATAGGTACCGATAGTAATACCTGCGCCTCCGCAGCCGGTGATCACACGGCCCGCGATGAGCATTTGGCTGTTCCTCGAAACACCGCAAATCAGACTTCCAAATTCGAATATGAAAACGGAGACAGCATAAGCGATTTTGAGCGGGAAGTATTTGTAGATCGTTCCCCATGGCGCCTGGAAGGCTGCCAAAGTTAGGAAGAACGCCGAGCCATACCATCCAACTTGGTCTAGACTCTGGAATTCTTCCGTGATCTTGGGGATGGCGGTTGCTACTATGGTCTAGAAGTAATTGTTAGGATAAGACTTCGCGGATAGGAACACTAAATGAGGTCAATCGCATACCATGTCAAGCGGTACCTATAGAATAGACGCGGTTAGCAATCCAGCCAAGCACTATCCAGCCAAGGATATCTACCCACAAGAAACATAGTCAGCAGCGTCGCGACATAGACGATCCATAGCTTCCACCCCTCCGGATACACCGCCTCTGGCGTATTAACAGCATCGTCATTCGTAGCAATAACAGCCTCTTTCAAATCCGCCTTTTCATTCAGCGACCCCGACAGCGACGCGGGCGGAAGAGACGACCTAGCGCTAGTCGCGTCAGCGTCGGCACTAGTTCTATCCCGAGACGCAGCCATCGTGGATAGCTCTCGACGGGGAGGAAGGAAAAAGGTGGTATACAAGTCGAAAGAGCGAGGAGCGAAACAGACGCCCAGAGAAATTATTCTTAGGCGGGCGATATACTAGGACTAGGTATACATATCAAGTCAACCCGTTAATACACGTAGGAGATCTACAACATAGAATAATAGAGCAATGCAGTGTAGCAGTCTACAGAGTAACGGTGCTTAACCGTGCTAGGGAAAAAAAAAAAAGGAATTGGGCGTGCTGGAATACTACCTTACGTGCGTGTTGAGGACCTATAATTAGACGTTATTGAGCAATCATAGCTCCCGACTATAGCTAACAGAAAGCTTTACATTATGGAGAAGCCAGGGTTCCGTGCGGCTCTCGCATTTGGTCGGTCCGCCGATAGATAGAGGCTGTCGATGTCCTGCCTCTTCAAGCTATTAAGTAGGATAGGGGGTCCTGCTCGGAGTGTTCACCAGAATAAGCGGCGGCACTCGAGAGAGCTCTAAACTAGAGGCGGCACGGCACGCTGTAAGGTACCGAGGCTGGTCTAGCTACCACTATAGGTGTACTATAATTTTTTTTCTCTTCTTTCTTATTTCGGTAAGAATTTGTTGCTCGGCAAGGTTTGTCGTACCGTTTGCCTCGGCGAGGTCGGCGAGGTTAGTTAATCGACCATATCGGTGAGGTTCGGCGAGGTTGAACAACGCCAAGAAAATGCACACCACCAACAGTTCGCGCCGCCTACATGTGCATTAAATAGTGTAGTACCTTAGCAATAGCCGTTATCCCCGAGGTAGGGGGTGCCGTAATCTAGATGCATTCACAGCTAAAATTACATCGACGATCTAGGAGCTCGGTGCCCCTAGGCAATTAAAATTAAAATTTATACAAAATTGATATGTATACAGTCATGTATTACCGGCCATTTCCTCTATGATCTAGAAACCAGGAATCCACCATTTTGTAGTCTTTGGAACGTGCCGTAGCGGTCGTACTTCTGGCTCACGCCTCGCAGGAAGTTCAAGTTCTGCGAACCGTAGCTCGCGAGCACATTTTGATCATATGCAGCGATGTTGGCGAAGATGAGCGGGTCGTATAGATTCTTGGCTTGCGACCGGCTCTTAATGTAGTTCCCTATTTGTGTAACAACGCTGTGGACTTGCTTGTCGTCTGCCGGGTTCGTCCACGTCGAGATGGGGTTCCAAAGGGTTAGAGCCCTTTTAGACGAACCCAAAACGTTTCCGCCGTTGCAGTCGCCAACCCGAGCAGCGGCCGCACCCAAGGTCTGGATAACAAGGAGGAACGCGGCGGAAGTGCCGTTGTTGGCCGCATTTATAGTGAGGTATTGGTTGTAGAAATCGAGATACATGTCTGCGTCAAGGGTCGTGGTAACACCGACGGTGTCGCGACTGGCCTCGGGCTGCGGCGGACTTTGGAGCTCAATGAATTCCAAGGTCGTACCGTTCGTGGGAGGAGTCCTCTCAGACGTCGGTACCAATTTGCTAAACGGCGCGAATACAGCAGGGTCGTTCGTAGGCTCGCCGTAGACGAATGCGACAGTGAAGCCGGCAGGTGAGCACGTCATCTGGATACCAGCTTTGGAGTCTCCTTCCATATTCTTCTGCACCTCTGCCAGTGCCTTGAAAACTGCTTGCGCGTCGGAAGCAGCGTAGATTGCATTGCGGTACCAGAGGTTTCGCGGCATCGTAGTGTACAGCTCAAACTTTGTGACAATGCCTTAAATAATATATTAGTTTTGATCTCGTAATGCCATGCCGAATCGAACAAGTTGTCTTACCGAAATTGTTCCCACCCCCTTTTAAGGCACGGAATAGATCCGAGTTCTCGGTTCTGCTTGCGGTAACAACCCTGAAATCCGAAAGCACGACCTAAAGATGTTCGTTAGTACATATAGCCCTATATATAGTCACTTAGTGAGTTTATACGTACTTCCATGCTCTTGATATTGTCCGCTGCAAGCCCCGTAAGAGAGTTGATGATGGGGTGACCACCACCGAGGAGGAGTCCAGATACGCCTACATACTTGTTGCGACCAGACACTACCGCAACGCCTTTCGAGTCAAGATACTCCTGAACAGGTCCAAAGCGAAGGCCAGCACCTACAGTAGCATACGACTTATCTGCACTCAAGCTCAAGTTCGAGAAACGTTGTGTGTCGATCGTGACACCCTCCTGGCCAATACCCGCAAAGCCTGGGTTGGGGTTGTGACCACCAGACCTGACTGCGAATTTGGACTGGACCCTGCTGATCACTTGCAGCGCGATAGCTACCTGGACGGGATGTTCCGGGGTTATGAAACAAGCCGCGGCGAGGTCACAATTGCTCGACCTAAACAATACATTTAGCATAACGGATCACACGGTTTTTCGGTACCACACCCGACTGACCAATTCTTTTCTAGGAGAGTGACGTAGGCAGTTTGGTTTGTCCTAATATCGGTATAAGAGTCTGGTAGGATACAGCGAAGCAATTGGCACGCGGTTTGCGCCTGGAAAGAGGACGTTCGAACGCTGATGGCATTATTTTGACTGGAGGCTTGATCTAATATCAAGCTGGAATTTCGAATCGCTGCGCTCAACTCAGAAATGATGGGGTCTGACGAAGAGAATGATCCAAGGGTATCCAACAACTGCTCAGAGAAGGATTCCTCCCGGGTCTTTATAGCAGCACCAAATGAGCCTGTCGCCGCTGCGACGAGAAGCAATGAAGGGACCTTCATATTGAGTACCACAAAAAAACAAACTGCTTCCTTCTTATCGATCACCAAATCGATCACCGAAAGAATGAAGGCGATCGTTGTGATGCGGAGTAAGAAAAAGACGAGGAAGATAAACAAGAGAAAAAAAGAAAAATTTAAGAGGCAATTTAGAGCATTTTTGGGTCGTGTATTAACACACCTGAATAACAGCGCCGCACACGCGCTTACAATGGCTTATCCAGCCCATTTGCGCGCATGGCCACATGGCTTCGATGTCACCGTGATTTTAATCAAAGAACCCCACCGGAAACGAGGCAAGGGGGAAGAGAAAGAGAGAGAGTCGCTAGCTGAATACTCCAACTCGCCTGAACATTCGCAAGGCTTTAGCAGCGCTGACTCGCCTCGTCCAATAGGAAGCAACTAAATAAGCGGGACGCGATCCTTCGTAGAACCACTCGTAGCATTCTAGATTGCTGTGGCCGAGCGGCGTGTGCTAGGTAGCTTCCTAATCCGGGACCTTGGGACTTGACGTTGTCCTTCTCGAATCTCGGATGCGACTGAAGCGTCGCATCCGGCCCGGGTCCGACGAGATCGTGCCATGCTATTGCTCCCCCCGGGGCAAGATTGCGCGTGTTCGAAGCTCTGAGAGGATTGCAATAGCTTCTTCTTCTACTATTGCTACTGTAGTAATATTCGTCACTAGCCCCCTTTTCCGCCGCTACCTAACTACCTAAGATCTATGCATATACACTAGGGCTTATTCTGCGTCGTCCACGTGGAACCAACTGCCATAACGTCACAGCTGCGCTTCTATTCTTGCTTGGCCATAACAAGTATAAACAGAATTAGGTTAGTTAGGGCATTAGAGTCCGCGCCGGTTTCAGCTTTGGAATCCTGAGTATTTCTCCAACGCTTTTGAGGCCGTATTGGCGAGATCTAGATTTGACGCCATCGGTTGAAAGGAGGCGTTGCTTAGAGTCGTACGACTTCACTCGGCGAATTCCTGCTATCTTCATCAAGCGTGATGCTCCTTCTGTGGGCCGCCACGTGAAGTTATTCCTAGGTAGGTAGCTAACCTCCTTGCAGACGGTGAGTTTCGATCAGATCCTCTAACCAACCATCGTGGGACCTATCTCGCGTTCTCACTTTTAGCCATTGTGGACACTCCACGATCATAGTTGATGCATGTATACGGTAAACACTCGTGAAGATCTGAAGAAGGTTAGCTTCAATACGAAATACTATCACGTTCAGCCGCCACGCTCTTATTCCCTTTTACCTAACTCATCTTCATTCGTATTCCGTCTATAAAGACCTTTTAGACTCACGTGCAGTGTGTTACGACCTCTACTCAATCGCCAATACTACTGCTGTTAGGGGTAACTGCAGGGCTATTAACTAACACCACAAGGCTAGCTATATCAATCTATTTATACGGTCTTCTATTATTGAATCAATCTACTACTTTCAAATACTTATACGATACAGTTCCTGAGACATGGCGATATGGTATCACGAGTGCTCTGTAGCGATTCCACTAGTATCTAGTAAGGCCTCAGATAGCTTGGCCACTCCAGTCTACAAGACGATATAATAAAAATAACTAGACTAAGGGATAATTCCACAACCCTAAATATCGAGGATAGTCCATTTATATCGTATTCATTTAAATAGCTGTTGTTTAAGAACTAATAGTTTACCGGACTCAATAGCCTATCTTCTTCCAAAATGAAAGAATCTTGTTTCTGGTCATGTTAGTCTCGTTGTAGCTTAAAATACCTCTCGAATCAGAAGCCATAATCTTTCATAGATGCATCCAACTATGTAAAATACTGTGTTACTATATCTTTTTGACCTGTCAAGTAGGCCTTGCATCGTTATTTCGAAAGTTCCGATAAGGCACTTGAACCAATAGGAGGGCCTACACTGCGAGGGAATCTGGTTTCTGTGGCTGCTCCTCGGAGTATAAGTAAATCTCGACAGACTGCCCATGATGTACCTTTCGTACTTTGCTCTTATACAAAGTAATTATTCTATAGATAGACGAGTTATCACTTTCTTTTCAGGACTATGGTCCTCTCTATTAACACACCTGTAAGACGAAGCTTTGTTTATCGCGTTTATATTCTAACAGATGCAACGGCAGTTTACCACCAACTTGCTCCAACTACACGCCGAAACGGATCAGCCAGCGGAGACTCAAAGCTTGGTACCTCAAGCAACTATCGATGGTTTCCCCGCCAGTTTTCGCGATGCCAAAGGCAAAATTCAGATCCTTAATGACCCAACCGCGTTTCTATCGATGGAGCTTTCGCTCCAAAAATTAGAAGTATTCTCAAAGTACTTTTGGGCAATCGGGAGTAAACGCCCAGCAGCACCGCTAAATTATCAAATATACTCGGGCAGAGAAGTTGTTCCCTGCGAGCGTCTGGATTTGCATCTCGTTTGGACGAACGACGGAAGAATCTTCATAAAGCCCTTGCCTCGTTTCTTGCTTAGTCTCGAGGTTTGGAATGAATATCTCAATTGCAGGGTTGATTGCAAGTGTCAACAAGGTTCCGCCGTACTCGATACCGGCAGTGCTCGACAGATACCACATCATCATGGGCCCGACAATTTGAGAGGCGTGAAGGTCAACCAAGCCGGCATTAGTTGGCCTCCGAGGACTCGGCGAGATGTCTGTGCACTACGGAGATGCGCCCTAGGTTTCCTCTACTCGTATGTTTGCCTTCTTACTTACGAGAGCGACTTTGCGTACGCGAAAGAACACCATCTTCTTCCTCGTTTAGCTAAGGGCACAGAGATCCAATGGGATGATTGGAAGAAGTTTTCCAGGGAGATTCTCGCCAAATACAAGGAAGCCGATGTACACCCGCGCTTCCACCGGGGAGAACTTCGTCTTTCCCGACTGAATTTCTTTAGTCGCTTCACTCAGTGGCCGTTATTTACATCATATATTCGCGGTTGGCGGAATTACGGTAGCTTGGTCCGGGACAATATCACCTCACTAGCTACAGTTACTGTTTTTATTGCCTTGATTCTGACGGCAATGCAAGTTGCACTTGCCACGGACCAAATCAAAGCAAACCCTCGGTTCATGGATGTTTCGTACGGCTTCTCTATTTTTGCTATTTTGGCTCCGCTGTTCGTGTTATTCCTGGTTATTGTAGAAGTTTCTTATAACCTTCTTAAAGATAACCTATTGACCCCAAACGTTGCCAAAAAGCCGGCTGGAAAGAAGAGGCCTGCAGCAGACGCGTCGGTATAAGAAAGAGAGCTGATCAGTATGGCTATATAGCCTGGTAGCGTAGTTGAGTCTTGAAATACGAGCTATTTATAGTTCAGGGGAAGTATGGTGTAGGGGACGGAACTAAGCAGCAAGCAACCGTAAAGTAGCCTTGACAAGTCTTCGTCATAAAATATGCGAACTGATACTTTGATCGTAGCTTATATAAACGAAGTGAAGATAATTGATTAATTTGATAAAATTTCATTTCTTCGGCAATCTAACTGGTTGATTTAGGCAGTGTCATCTTTGGTAGTGAATTGGACCTTGTGAATTGACCTATCGTAGATCGTCTCTTACTGTTGAAAGGCACGAAAAATGAGTGGCCACAAGCCAGGTCACAACAGATAGCTTAAGAAAATCTTCGCATTAATAGTAACTAAGCTATAGTACGGCATGGGCGAGAGCATCGATTATTCCATAGCATATATTTACCAAATCCTAGGGACTCTGCCTCGCGGATGAATTGGCCTGGTGGATCACTAGGCTGCGACACCAACAATGACTCCGTTCCTCTCGATTTGTTCTCGACTTGCTCTCGACTTGTCGACACTAGATGACCGCAACTGAAGCCAGCCTCTGCTGTTGCCAATATTGTTTCTATCTTATGGATCTCTATTTCGATGTATGCATGCAACCCTCGCGGTAATGAAAATCTGAGATAACTTTGCTGTTGGATGTACTGGTTGGCTATTAGCCAACATGTCGAGTCCTCTAATATGTACTTCTCTTTTTGGATGGTGTTGCTAACTAGGCATTTTCCCGCCCAGAGCTGCGGTATTATCGGCCTATAATGACGTTAAAGTATGGGTGGGAACTTAAGTCTATCTTCTACTGCTAGTTATATGCCTTAGCATCGCGCGCTTAGCTAAATCCTCTAGATAAGCCGTATCCTGCGCGCGATGATTAGACACGTTGTACAGAAGAAGATAAGACATCCTAAGATGACGAGGAAGGCAGTAAGGTTCTCGTCATTCTGGAAAGGAACATGGACGTTCATGCCGAATAGACCCGTGACGACGTTGAGCGGCACGATTATAGTAGCCAAAAACGTGATCTTGCTCAGTCCTGCATTGGTCTCCGTTCCTTGCGTAATACTATCCATGGTTAACTGGGCGATGTAGTTGCTGTGAGCGCGGGATAGGATCTTCTCGAAGTGGGTGAGGTTGGTCATCATCGTGACGACGTGATCTTGGATGTCGCCAAGGTACATGCCTATATCCATCCGTGGTGTGACTTTGTAGTCTTCATTGCAGCGTTTGGTGAAGCCCTTCAAGATGTCGGCCTTGCCACCGAGTCCTCGCATGAGAGCCAGGGTATTCTTGCGGACGTTGCCGAGCTTGCGTAGGAACAGATTGTTGTCAGTTGGCCGAGCGACAAAGATCGAATCTTCGATGGACATGGTGAGCGACTCCACCCTATCGATCGCAGGAGCGAATGAATCGACGATGTTATCACTGCAAATGCTGTCAGCATCTCTGCATTTCTATGCTTGCGGATCTTGAGTTACAGCTTGTACTTACATCAGAGCGTAGCAGATCCAATCACTGCTCAAGGAAACGTAATCCTTCAGGCTTGAGATTCTCTTTCGGACTAGAGAGGCGTGGGTGTTTGGCAAAAAGCTGAAACTGAGGGTACCTTCGCGGAAGACCACGACGTAGATATTATACGGCTCGTAGTCCGGACCGTCATCGTCTTGGACGACGTTAAAAGACCGGAACGAGGCAAAATAATACGATGGGAAAATTTCGATCTTCTCGCGGGGCTCCTGAGTCGTGATATCCTCGATCGTTAGGGGATGTACCCCGAAGGCCTTGCATAGAGCCCGGACCTCCTCTTCGGATGGCCTGTTGACGTTTAACCACCATACGCCATCCGGCTCGTCCCGAGGCAGAGTAAAGAGACCGCGCAAATCCTCGCCCGGAAGAACCAGGTCTCCGAATTCGGCGGCATGGATAGTAGATTCCCATGCAGAAGAGAAAAAGCTGAAGCGGTTAGGGTCCAGGTGCTCTTTATCGATCGGTTTCGCCGTTGCTTCTTGTATCTCGGGCGCCTGTGGCATTTCCTCGTGGTCGACATCCGACGAACCGGATGGAATATTGATGAAGTCGCCGTCGACAGTAATCATGGGCGGAGGAGGAGTTACCAAGTTCTGTCTTAGATTTGGGAATACTCGAACGGCCTCTTGGGCGTCGAAGCTTTCCTTGCGTGCAGCGTTTTCGGATGCGATGAAGTTCTCAAGGTAGTCAAAATCGATATGTAGCTGGTCGCGGCGATGCTCTTCTTGTACGGGGAAGCACACATCGTCCTCTGCAGTTTTGTTGGTTGCTAAACTTGCTCCGTCGTCGGCAAGAAAAGTACCAGGCCTGCTACGGCCGGAGCGTTGGCTTACACGGCTGTTGCGGCTGGTAGAGGAACAGGTCCGCTGAAGAGCCTCACCCTCCTCAGACTTTTGCGCGCGAACATCTGTGATGGAGAGGGCACGTTCGCGGCGACGAGCTTCTGCAAACGCTTTGACCGAGTTCGGGGGAGACACGGCACGCTGCCGTTCATTGGTAGAATTAAAAGTAGGCCTGCGGCTGTGCGACGTCAACGGGGATACACCTTCATCATCTTCGTCGAGTACTGCTTCTTCGAAATCTCGTACTCGAACATCGGAAGGCGAATAGGGAGCAGCCGGCTGCAGATGCTGGCGGGACCCATATAGGGTATCAACAGTGCCGCGGCGAGGGCGCTCAAGCTTCTGAGCGGATGAGATCTGGTGGCGGTGGTCGTCAAGCTCTGGGACGGGGGTGTTATAACCCGAGCCAGAGGCAACTTCATCGTGATCGGACATGTTGTAAAACTATCGCAATTCCTCTACAGTTTACTCGGGATTCCGAAGCTGCTGGTATGGGGGCTGCTCTATATTGTGTCGATAAGCTTGACTCGACCGAATATTGAATACCGGTCGAGGAAAGCCTTCCACGTGCTGATCAAGGGAAGGCAGACATACTCAGCCTAGCAGCATCAGTGATCTGCAGTAGGCGTGGCAGCACGCCGACTGCAAAGGTGACTTTGGCGTGACGTTCAAGCCAGTGCCGGAGAATACCTGGACCAGGTCCCGGGAGTAACCAAGTCGTATAAACAAAGTATTGGGCGGGTAGACTGTTTAAAGTCAAAATAGCTGGCGCGTCGGTAAAGTTAAGGCGGCTTCTTGTTGACGCCGCTGTAGACCCAGCAAACGGGGCCGAGAAGCGGTCGAGAAAATGAGAACTGGTCACAGCTGAGGCCCGCCAATTTGGTGGTTTCCGAGAGGGTGGCGGTATTTACCGCAAAGGAGAGCTCGGTGTGATGAAAGAAATAGCGCAGCTCGTAATGCCCCTCAAGGATCTCGGTTGGTTTAGATAACGTTGAGTAGGTTGTTAGTTGGCACGTGTTTATTCGAATGGAAGGTAGGTAGACGGATTGTTATTATGCGACTCGACGAATTCGTGCGGGAAAAGACGACAAGTACTCTTTGGGAGTGACCAATGTCAGGATCGACAAAGGGTGTCGCGGATGGGGGTAAATACTGTAAGTCTGGGATTGGATTGAAAGCCGAATCAAGGGATCGGACGATACGAAGACCTTGATGAAATAGTGTGATTCCCTAGAAAAATAGACCACATACGCAATGGTTTGCAAGATGTTATGGGAGTTATTGTTTGCGAGAAGAATTTTGTTGATGTTGAAAGAAGACGTTAAAAGCGAAGGGGTAGATGAGGTTAAAGCGGCAAGCATCTGATATTTTAGATGATTAGCAGCTGAGCTTGGGCCCTAGAAAAAATTATTGCCGGGGCCAGTCATGCAGAGGGGGATTAACGTTCAAAAGTTAAGAGGTGAAAATTCCTGCAGGAAATCTCGACTTTTGAGATCCACCGACCCACATGTACTACACTACCTAGGTACCTAGGTAATGTACAACCTATAGTCCGGGTAAGGCAGGTAAGACAGGTCAGAACAGGTTTCGATATTAAGGTTGGCGTGGCTTGCTCTTTATATTTTATATCCGCCTTACATACTGCAACATTCTTTCTATTGAAGGTTTTTAAGCATACAGTACGTTCTGGGTAGTTCCTGTTAACAACTGACTCTTAATACTGGGAGCCAAATTGTCTAAACTGTGAAATTGACATAGCTTAGAAGATACTGCTCCTGTCGGTGAATAATATCGTACGGAAGAATTGATTATTTTCAAATTCAATTAGTCGATATATCTACCATATTTACACCAGTTGTTACTTCGACATTAGAATAACTATACCTAGGTAATGTACAGTACAGGAGAGCCACGAGACGGGAAAGCAAAGAAATGTCTAACAAAGACTCAATTGTGTCAAAGAGCCAAAGAGATATAAAAAATACTTGGATACATTAATGTTTCGATGTGGCTTACTAGCTCGTGGAAAGCGGGGATTCGAGGCTAGAAATACATTATCTCCATTTTCTGATTGGATACCACGTATAAGGTCACATATAAGGTACCACGCACCCCAAACAGCCTCACTAGGTTACTTCTTGCCAGGTAAGCATCTTAGACAACATACCCAAAAAAACGCTTGTAATCCACCATAACGTCAACGTCCGCTAATATAAATCATAAATAATTAACCTCCTGAACGGCAAGTCCCTCAACACTATAAGATGGCGGAACAGTTGCTGGATCAAGTGAGAGACGCGGTGGACGGCCAAATTGTTCGTAACTATCTACCTATTATTTAATCAATTTAGCACAAGACATTACGATTGACCAATTATTATCTGCAGGACTTTGAAGGCCAGAAGCTAGCCGAAATATTGGCGACAGTTGTCCTCTCGATTGTCGGAGTACGAGAAATCTGCTCTTTTATCTTACTCGTTCCCTTTTGCAACAGCCTACTAACCGTTATTATCAATTAGGGAATTTCGTTCCTCGTCGGCTTCTTTCTCCAAGACATAGCTCTAGCCCTCAAGATCGGCCTTGCTGGCACAGCACTCACCTTCCTACTCGTTGTCCCTCCTTGGCCCTTCTTCAATAGACACCCCGTCAAATGGCTTCCGGTCGGAGGCGAACCAGCAATTACGAATACACAGCAGAACATAGTTATTGATGAGAAACTTTTCACGAAATAAACTGTTGTTTTATTTGCGCCTCGAAGGCGTACTAGCTATGGACTTCTGCCGTTTAGCAGAAACATACTCGACATAGACGTCGTAGTCCGAGTAATACAATCTGTTCCGCAGTACCATTTCAAATCTTTCACGTGTGATATGGGTGTCGTCTTGTGATTGTGATTTCTAGGCGGTGATATTACAACGTTAGGTGGATGTGATGGTCAGTGTTGCTCGTGCGATATCGACCTCGATAAAATATCCTCTTCCACTTAACGGCCGTACTTTTGGAATTCCCAGTCTCGGTTGTCCAGTGGACAGACTTGTCGTGCCTTGAGCCATCTTGAGATGCAGTGGAAGTGGAAAGCATGCTACACAGTATTAGTTAACAGTCTGAGATGGGTAATAGTTAATATAACTTACGTTACAGATGCCCCAAGCTACAGTGCACTCCTCACTGGCGGCGGATGCTTGGTTTGCTTGACATTCGATACACAAATCCATGATGTGATTTCGGCAGATAGCGCAGTTGTCGACGACGATATCCCAGGCCCAGAGAGCCACGGCATTCCACTAGGTATCAGGTATTAGCCCAAGTACATCACTAAAATATTCTAGCTAGATTATTCCTTACCTTCTTGACCTCAAAGCGCTTCTTCCCGTCATTCTTCCCGTCAGCGTCACCGCCCTTGCGGTCCTTCTTGACGACAGCCGAGGTGCTGGGTGCGTCGGTCATGTCGACATCAGCCATAACGTCTGTGGTAGTCCGAAGCGGCTATAATATGAAGGTGTGTTATCGTGATAGAACCGGACGTAATATCGTTGATTGGATTAGATCGTGTTAGATTGCGGGTTCGTTGGAGTATGGAGTATGGAGAAATATCAAAGTTGAGGTTGCCTTATGGATCCACCAGTGCTTTTTGTAGTGAGTAAAGCAGACAAAACGGCAAACACGACTAAGGCTTTGTTTTTTGTTGTTATTTATATTTTAATGCGCTATTGTAAGGCAAAGTGAAGGTAGAAAGTCCTTGGAGCCTTCAAGGTTGCGGGATAGCTGGATGCGCATCAGGTAAGAGGTAGCGGCAGCTGTGCAAATGCCCCTCCAGTTACTTAGGTACCTTGTATACTTACAGGTATAATGACCCACGGAATACATAGATACTTTAAAGTTACTTATAATCTGGGTAAATTCTTTCAAGACTTGGGGTAGCGACAAGGTCGATTGACATTACGCTAGGCTCCTACCAATAAAATAGAGCCATTGATGCTCCTTACATCAGTAAGGTACCTATCGGCGCGACCTTGCGTGCCTGACCGAGGGACTTAGGAGTGGCGGGGATGTACGTTAGAGGACACCCACCTACAACTGCTACTATGTACATTATGTAACTGCCTGACTGCCTAACAGGTCCTTCTTGATTATATAATACACGTAATAAGGTTCCCTGCAATGAGGTTTTCTGTCCTAGGCCGAAAATATACTGTGTACAGCCACATCATGTGTCACGTTATGTTGTACCCAACTCCGATTCCTGTTTTGTAACTGGATGGCGATGGCCGCCGAAGACTCCACCGGTCACTCAAAGTGTTTTCCCTGCGAAAATACGATCCAATTCCAATCTCTCTCTCAATCAACAATCAAACACAAATATGTACAGAAACGTTGAAAATCTCACAAGCCACAGCCTACGGATGTCACACTTTCCATCAAGAAGAACAATATTCTCGTCAACAATACGCCGACCTCCTGTTTAATCCAAATAGATCGCGAAAGAAGTAGCTAGCCAGATTACTTCACTTCCCCTTTGCTTTCCATCTTCGTTGTCTCCACCCCGCATTACGTCGTCGCACTGACTCTAATCTCCTGGAACCCGCGAAGTAACCAACTCGCCTTTGGAGTCTCTCGAAACTTTATACTACCATCATCACTACTCCTTTTTCGAAATACATGCCTCCGAAGCATGCAAGAAGGACTACAGCAAAAGCAGACACCTAACCGTCGCCGTCAGGGCGGTCGGAGTCGCAACACCCCCAAGCAGACGACCTACGCTTCTGAGAACGATGTTCCCAGATACAAATCTGGCCACGACGGCAACCCTACCACGCCCGTCTCAGAAGCAGTCGAGACGCTGCGTGCCAGTTCGACAAGTCAAAAACAGCGCAGCAAAAAGAAGAAGAATAACAACAACAAACAGCCTAACGCGAACGATGGGGCTGTTTCGCCGGGCCGAAACAACCCAGACCGTCCGAGTCCCTCGGCTCCTATATTTGCGGGCTCCACATTTCATGCCTCGCCTGCGCCGTCAGCGCTGCCAATCCCGAGCTTCCTCAACAGGTCGGAGCCCGATACCCCGGGGATGAAAGCTGCTTCGAGCCCAGAGCAAGAGCTTTCTTGCACGACGTCCGATTCGGATGAGACCAGCTCTCCTAGTCCGATCACGCGGGCCACCGAGTCGCCCTTGGAACTCTTCTTCCGTGCTGACCGAGCCGAGAGAGAGAAGGCCAGAGCACGCCGAGCTAGTTCTTTTCACGCTGCTGCGATCAATATGGGTTCGACCTCACCATCTCACCAATCTCCAAAAGGATTTCATACATACCCCTTGGGAACGACACCTAACCAGACGCGCCGCCCGAATTATCAAAAGCGTGCTACCGTCTTGGGCATTTCCGCAGATGAGCTAGACGGAAATCCTGGTGAACCAGTCGGGCCAGCCTTTTCCACCCCCTACCAGGAGCGCATGCGAGCTGCTCGATCAAACCAATCCTCTGCACGGTCTACCAACAAAGTACTTCAAAGCCAGGACATTAATCATTACGATGATCTCAAGCGTTATCTCTTTACGGGTCGGTTAGATGGTAACGAGGAACCATCACAGCAACTATCAGGCCCACCAAATCAAGTTGATCAGCATCATTCTCCGCAACACCACAAGTCTTCTGAACGAACGCGGCCTTCTCAGGGCCAATCTCCACAATCCCCACCACGTCATTTACCTCGCGGCATGTTTCCCATGTCAGTTCTGACGGCTAGCGCGCAGAACGGGCAACCCACAGCTCCGCCCGTAGACGCGCAACTCACGTCCTATCGCCCCGACGAGGTTACTACAATGGAAGATGAACTGCGTCGGATACTCAAACTTAATTCGAGCCATGCCCTATCGTTACATTAACCGACTGACTTTACTTTCCTCTGTAAGCTTGTAGGCTGAGACTCTCGAACCGGTGTTATAGGCGTTCGTTGGTGATCGGATGCCGGATCTTCGCCAGCATCAATTGGCTATGGCCATTCTTCACATTATCTTCCTTTATTTCTATGTTTTACAATCACTCATCATCACATATTCTTTTCCTTTTTTTCTTGTTAAGGATGGCGGTGTCAACCCAGCTATGGTACATAGGGATAGTCATGGTCGTGTATTTCCGACATCTAGACTTCATACAGGAAGACGGTCTAGGGAAATGCATTATCGGTCTTTTTTTCTTCCCTGTTCACTTTTATTTTCTATCACTTTCATCAATCAGCAATCAACAATGTATTACGGCATATGAGGCCTGAGTAAGGCTCGGTATAGCCTGAGATAATAGCTGGTGCATCGGCGATTTATGTCTTGAACTTTCGGAAACCTGTCCTCGTTGGTGGGTTGGAGTCTCGGGACCCGCCCTACTCATCGGAATTGGCGTCAGATCTTGGGTTCAGATTCTAGACGGATGGGGATCAGATCCGGTGCACGGAGGTAGTATGGAAACTCGGTACGAGGGAATGCTCAACTTCGGACGGTTTGTTATCTCGTCATCACTTACGAGATGATGATTCGAAACGGCAGCGGCTTCTAGAGGTTAAACTTAGGAATGTTGTCTGGGCATCCATAGCGATGCGCCGGGACAAGATTACACGGGGAAAAATGGAAAACTCATAAAAATTTTCTGATGATATATCCAATGCCCGGTCTTGCAGCTTACTCCATAAGGTAAAGACTTTGGGCTATTCAATATAACAGACCTTCTTGGTCGCAATATATCATCAGATATTAATGTTCCACACTCGTGATCGTATGTACCTGGTGTAGCCTTGAAAGTCTGTCCATGTTTGCTTTCTAATATCAAAGCAACGCTCATGCTCAACTTCAAGATATCCAGTTCTTCACATATGAATTTAGTTTTTAGCCAACCTGGCATGAGCATAAACAAGTTTCTTAAGATGAAGACTCGGTGTAAATTAGGATTATTATTTTACTCTTATTTTGACGTTCTACCAATTGATGCTCTGAAAGGATGTACCTAAGTACCTGCGTATTCAGGCTATCAGGGCTATCGGGCAATTGACCTTTAACGTTGACGTCATTTCCGATAATTCAGTGCACGTGCTTTCGCGCTTAGGTAACGTTTCTAGCGCGTTTGATTCCACGTTAACGCTTCCATCGCGGTTCCTAGCAAGGATTCGTCTTGCTCATCATTGGAATGTTTCTTATCACTTAAAATGGACGGACTTGATGCTTTTGGAGGCGATGAGGATGCTGCTTTGCGCTACGCGATAGCTTTATCGTTGCAAGATGCCGGTAATTCCTCGTCTAAAAACCCCATTGAAATCGACTCCGACGGGGATGACGATCTTGACAAAGGACCAAAATACCCCCCTGTTGCAAAGGAGATTGAGAATCAACATGGACATCACGAATCACAATCTGTCCCATTGCCTGAAATATCATCAGTCTCTCAGCAATCTGCCTCCAAGACTCCAAGTAGCTTTAAAGCTCTAGGGTTGGATAGGAAGAAGATGGAAGAAGAACGACTAGAGAGGTTAGGGAAGCGAAAAGCCCCTAATTCAGAGCCCGAATCTCAGAATCGCAGGCAAAGGCAAAAACTCGATACAGAATCCACAGTTACAGTTAACCCTGCTAATAAGAGCGAGCTTCATCTTCCATATCCAAAGGGCGTCGTGAAGAAGACGTGGGCGAAGGGCTTTCCTCGCAAAGACGATATCAAAATCGAGGAAGTTCTACAAAAAGATGAACTCGAACTCGCTGTGATCAGCTCGTTTCAGTGGGATGAGCGGTGGATGTTATCCAAAATTGACTACAGAAAGACCAAGATCGTCTGCATTGCTTTTGCTTCAAACGAAGCGCAGGTACGACTCCAGATTTGTTGATCCATCTTTTCAATTATAGAAAGCTAAACTAATGGGTTGCCGTACTGCTGTAGCAAGAGGAGATGAAGGCCAACACACCCCCTGGGACGGCCATCAAGTTCTGTTTCCCGCCCATGATGCCAACGGGAAACATGCACTCAAAGTTGCAGTTGTTAAAATACCCTAGATACTTGCGAGTGGTTGTGCCAAGCGGTAATTTGGTCCCCTATGACGTAAGTTGACACTATTTCTCCCGGTAGCATGTTGTATCATTGACGAATACGAACGCGTAGTGGGGTGAGACAGGGGTTATCGAGAATATGGTCTTTCTTATCGATCTTCCTCGACTAGGAGATCCCGGGTCACAGTCATCTAGTACTCTTGGCTCATTTGGTGAAGAGCTCTGCTATTTTCTTCGAGCCCAGGGCCTAGAGGAGAGCTTAGTGGGCAGTCTGAAGAACTACGACTTTTCAGAAGCAGATCGTTACAGATTTGTCCACACAATGTGAGAATCCAATGAGGCCACCCTCTCTTGCCATACACGACCTTTACGACTAACTCAAAGCAGCGGAGGGTCGCATGTAGATGAAAAGTGGAAGCGAACAGGTAGGCTCTATCTATAAACATTCAGATATCTTTACGCTAACTTCTTCATAGGATATTGCGGGCTTGGTCGAGCCGTAACATCGCTTGGACTCAACACCACCGAAGACGTCGAAATCGACTTCCTAGCCTCGTCGCTCGGGTCCCTAAACATGGATTTACTATCAGCAATATATTATTCTGCCCAAGGTAAGGCCACACCCTCGATATATCCTCCCTTTCCCTCTTTTTGCTTTTTGTCTTGTTACTTACGAGATAGGCGACGATGGTATGAAAGAATACGGGATAAGGAATGCCAAAGGCAGAAAAAATAAGGCTCCGATGCAAGCTAAGCCCGACTTCAAGAATAAGTTTCGAATCTACTTCCCGTCTCGCGAAACTGTGGTGCAAAGTCGGGGCGGCAGGAACGTGAGTATAATTTTTTGACTAGGACTCAAGAGCTTCTAAAACGCAACACTAACTAATGATCCTCCAGGCTGCAGGCACCATCTGTGTTCAGTCCAAATGGTGGGATTCGGCAACATTTCCTCGTGAACTGATTCGTGATTGCAAAAGCGTCAGATCAGGCCTTCTTATCCATAGCAAGCTCATGCTGGTCCGCCACTCTGATTTAGACAAGTCAAAAGCTGCGTTCGCCTACGTCGGGAGCGCAAATTTATCAGAGAGCGCCTGGTAAGTTAATAGTAACGTAATTTTAAAGATATTTACTAATGCGAAATTCTGATGTATAGGGGGCGCCTGGTAAAAGAAAGGGGAACCAGCAACCCTAAGTTAACCTGTCGCAACTGGGAGTGCGGAGTCATCGGTAAGTTCATATGTCAAAGTGTCCCATAGCCCACTTCATCCGTCTTTGAGCCTCCTCGGGAAATATGGAGTCTTATGATGCATTATTAATATTAGGAGCTTGTGTAAAGGGCGTTTATTGACTTCCGATTCTATAGTTCCTATTTCGCCTCGAGATCCAAGCAAAGACGGGTCTCGACCTTCTAGCGTGTCCGATTTTAATGACACTATCCCAGTGCCGATGAACATTCCTGGCGAGGCATACGGTGACATAAAGTCGAAACGTCCTTGGCTCTTCCTCGAAAATTGACCCTCCAGTCAGTTGAACTAGACTCGACTACCCGTCTCATTACTATCCCACAAGGTACCTAAAATAGTGTACAATCGGCGGGCCAGCTTTTTAGCGTCTAGTGGGCCGGATATTATCCTAATGCCACGATCGTAGTGCGGATCGCGGGTGATCTGCACTAGGTTGGTTAGTTAAGTATCTTCAGCTCAGGTGATAAGGGTGATTACTTTACTAACACTAGGCTGTCAGTTCTGAAAACATTGTTTGTCTCGAGATGCGCCCTACATATTCAGAAACATACAACTTCTAGTCAGTTGTTCTTCGTGCTGTCACCCTTCTCTAGTTGGACGCACATGACATGACAGTCATATTTATTTTAGGGAATTTGGTGATATCGAGTTGTATATGTAGGTCCGCGATAACGGCATACGGGATAATCGAGGAAGCCCCTAAAGACCATCCTGGACCCTCGAGTACCTATTGAACTACCGACTTACCTACCGATACTGAATCGATGTTACTTACATTCACATGGGATTTGTTTGAGGGGTTTAAGAGGAGGAAACGCAGGGTAATACCATGTCGCGCCAGCATCATTAAGGTTTGTGGTATTCGTCGGTGTCCTGCCTGCTGCTTAGGTCGGCTTGATTAATCCACTAGACCGTAGTCGTTTCATGCAGATCGAGAGGCTCTCACCATCCCCTATTTAGCTATCAGATTGGTGATCAGCTATTCCCTTTGGGGGTAATTTTCGCAGATACTTTTTCGACACAGGCTGTTTCTCAGTCATTCTTTGATTAGTCTACCGACCTCTCGGTTGGTTTAGAATTAGGAATAAAGTTTTCAGTTTTTCGGTCTTGTACCTGCATTCGAGAAGCATTGGCGAACAATGAGCTGTCAAACGAGATACCAATAGGGCTAACAGGAATCGGACCTAAACGCACTCAACAGCACAAGTGGCGAATATAGGATAGAAATGAAATGATTCGGGAGTCCTGCGGCAATTATCAAGGATTACTTGGGCAGGTTTAGTATATTCCTTTTTTTAGATGTCGGTATAAACATGTATTCTCTTCGCAAAATATGAAATAATTAAGAGCAAGACACTCCGAAGTAGAGAGTAGGCGAGACGTATTAATTGTTAATACCTAACGCCACTAATAAGATACTCACTCATTGCATCGATAATTATCTATCCCCCATCCACGCCTTGGCTATAAAACTCGTCGCGGCCTCTGGCATTAATAGAGCATTCTAAAACATTTCATCGCCTGTCAAGCCAGGGCAATGTGAGATAGTAACTTGCCACCTACATATTTTACGCGTACCAACTTTGGCAACCCGGCGTATGTAGTGAGAGGATTCTAATTTCTAAGTGGAAGTACTACGTAGGTACTTAGCTCTCTAGAGGTTTAGCCTGTTAATAAGGTTTGTTCCGTCGTTAATAGGGACCACCTAGTAAGAGGGCTAGAGTACCTAGGTCTGGCGCCGTTCGTCACTAGGGTGTATGGATCATTGATTACTTAGACCACTAGATGGAATAACACCCTTTTTATCAATCTTTATCCCCAGGATATATACCCCATATCCCATCGGAGATCTTCAATTTCTCCAATGATTCTATTAATATTTGTTCATAGGCGCTTTCCCAACGACTTTTATAAACGAATTGCTAAAAATGAAGACAATATCCATAGGGTCATCTCCCTACAGTACACCTAAGGTATCCCCTTGACTGGCATTTAACAGCAACCCTCCCTGCAATCGGTACAGTACGTGAGGCCTAACGTCATTCTCTCGGAATCAGACTCTAAAGCTACGAATAGTAAATATAATTGGCCAATCTAACACCGCACGAGCCACCTTGCGTACTATACAGAATTATAGAGGGTGGCTGTTGAATGCCAGCCAAGGGGATAGCTTGAACCTTAGGAACTCTTATTTCTGGGTACCTAGCCTAGCCTAGCACCAACAAGACCCCATTATGTCAAAGAGTCGTCCTATCATTCTAACCTATGTAGCTGTACACTACGGAGTACCTTAAAGCTAAAGTTTCTCTCAGGCCTCATAGAAATCATAATGGCAAAGCCTCGGACGCCTATTAGGGCTGACACGACCAAGTTACAATCAAGCCTAGACTTCACGAAATATTACATAGGAAATGACAGGGATAAACCTATAAGAATATGGGTTGGGCCATTGATAATGGGCCTGTGGTAGCTATACGCAGCCTTAAGGGAGGGTATCCAGAACTCCGAATAGCGAATTGCGAATAGCCCACGACAGGTAGCCTTGCTTTATCGGTCAGCAGTCTAAGTGCAAATGCCTTATAAGGATAACATGACTTATATCTACCTATCTATATAAAGCAATGATCAAACCCCGGCGGGTAGGATAGACTATATTCACTTTAACTGAGACAGATACGATTAATACGCATGACATAAACATCCATATTATTCTACAAGAGATCGAACGTTTTCTAGCTCATCTCGCTCGGGTCTATTCTTCAATGGATCGCTAAGGCTTCTTGTTAGAGGAAATATTTAGACGAACCCAGTATTCCAGTTTAATAGCCTCATCAATGTTTTTATTCGATATATTCCCTAAATATTATCCGGAAATCGCGAGTATTGAATCCATTGCATATCCTTGTCGGTATATGGCCAGTTGCAACTAATCTAGACCAAGGATGCCGTCGCAATGCCAATTGGCTGGCCTTGGGATTTGAAATCAACCCAGGAGCAGTCATTTGATTACGTAGGGGATCTACCATTAGGAATCCATCATCCCTTCGTCACATTGCATCAAACACCATAGTCATGAAGGCCGATAAGGGGTGGCGGGTATGACTTATCTACCTGAGTATTCACAACTCAACCATTGCCACTTCAAGCCTTGGAGCCTCATGTAATTAGTGATCTTTCACATAATCTATTAAATCATGGTGCTTGTGGCTCCCCTTTAAGACAGACCCGGTAAACATAGTAGTAAATACCAAATAGAGAAAGATAGGTATATTTTCGCACATGGAGAAAACACCATAATTCATAATGACCACAGTAATAATGATACCAAGGATGAGGAATATTACATTACATATACTATGGATAGGGGGACGACGGCTTAATACGCAATTAGGATATCTCTATAGTATAGTAACGACATGTGATCATCCCAAATTCCATACTTCGGACTACCTCAGAGACACCGAGCCTACCTATCACATTTACTTCACTTTTAGCTTAACGTACTCTCCCCACCCCTTTCACGCCTTGCTCGGCCCGTGATCATACAAAATAATCCGGGGCCATCGAGTACAATCCATGATCCCAAAGTAGCACCAAGGTTAGGCGATCGACTAAATCGTGCATCAAAACAACCCACTACGGAATTCCCGCACACACGCGGCAGGGTTGTCACAGACAAGAAAGGAAATCCGATAAGGATATTGAACTACCTCGAATTAGCGTAGTCAAGATGTTCATAGTGGTGGTGGTGTGGTGGTGGTGGTGGTGAAAAATATTAAAGGCGATAGGATACATGATCCCTAACCCCTAAGAAGACAATTGGATCCAATATTCCACTCTCCCTGATCTATTGGTGCATCCGGGTACAATTTCCATTTAGTTCCCGCGTTTAAGTACTTATTTTCATATAGTAAAGTAGTTAGATCTTGGAGACGGTATCAGGCGAAGGATGGTAGGTGGCCAGGAGGACCGCGCTAGGATGAATGGCAACAGAAATGATGAGGAACTAGGGGAGGACAGTAGGAGGCGAAAGAAGCCATGGCTGTGATATGGGGTCTTTTGATGAGAAATAGATAATGCAAATATTGGATATGGAAATAGAAAAGTATGTAGAATGTAAGTAGGTACATAATTGTCTAACTGCCAAAGCGGTACCTAAGTTTCTAGCTAAGAACCGGCAAGCGCTATGTGATCTTTCCCCGTAACTCTAACAATATACAAGCATCGACTGCCTGAACCGATCTCTTTCCACTAATTGGTTACTGGTTACTGCTTACTCGACCGCATTGATGTTAATACTAAAAGTAAGAACCGTCTGTCCGTCCTCAGGAAAAAGCGTCTCGCCTTCCGCAAATGAATCCTTCGGCTACCACTGTCAAAGTAAGAACTATATACAACCTCCCAACGATTGATTACATATAGGTATTAAATACCAATTAAAACTAGCTCACTCCCACCTACATACATATATTCTCCTATTCTCTCCTAAAACCTTCCTTCCGTATCGCTCTCTATTTATCCTTATGCTCTCCTGCACTACATATAGTGTTCCTTCCCAGAAATTCAATTTATTCGGTTTCGGACATCACATCACGTCACTCTACTTTACTTTACTTTACTTTACCACTGCAACACCGACGCCGGCCAAGATATCAGTCGCGTTGCAGGTAAAATTTCTCACCTGTTGCGATTCCACCTTCTTCTAGGTGCATACAGAAATCACAGCATAGTACCTAGACACCCAGAAAGCTTCAACTTATATCTTCATTATCCCGATTCCAGGTGTTAGCACCAAACAGCTCCCATTTCGACGACAAAGTTCACAGCCTCAACTCAGTGTCTTTTGGCGCCACATTTGACCCTGGACTTTCATTTCACCTTCAAATATCACAATCTGGAACCGTTCTCGGTTCGAGGGTTTACTGTAGCACCGCTATCCTCTTTTACTATCGTGAAGTTTGATATCGCAGTCCAGATCCCGGGAGCATCTCGATACAAAGACGTGACTCACCCAATATAGCACCTAGAGGCCATCGGTTGAGGACGCGGACCAGGGAAGTTGTGCCACAGCGCGGCAATTCGGAGTCCGTTCCCAAGTCCCCTGAGCGTCTAAAAGTTTAAAGACGCTGGTAGTGCCACTCGGACCACCACTTGAGCTCACCTACCTAGCTACGCACAGGTTGGGAGGGGTCATATATAGCCTCTGGTGCGGCAGCCACGAACCCAGTCGTGAGTCCGTTCCTATTAGTCCGCAACACATCTCCCGGAGATTTCCCTACCGTCAAAAGAGGGCTCCAAGTATACAGCAAGACGTTCGTAGTAAACGGTCTACCTACCCTCTTTCCCACATATATTAAGGTTCACTCGGCCCAGGGACACACAGTATTCCACACTCAGGCTCGCATACCAACCCTTCGTTTTCCCTTTTCCCTACTAGGCTCAGCCGAGGGTCATATTCTTTTCTCTCTAAACTGGCCTTCCAGTCTAGACAACTATCACCGGATTGCAGAGAATATATACCAATCGACGCATAGCAGTTAGTGTCCTACGCTGTGTTAAAAGGAAAGAGGAGTTAATTTTCTAGTTCAAGAACGAAGGGATTACACGATATATATATCGGATCAAGTTCCTCAATCGCTAAGATTTGGTGACCCTTTCTACCGACCTAAGTTTATGTGCTGGTCTCACAACAAAGCATAAATACTCAGTCGAGGTAAGATTGAATTCTACTATACACTCTTACCCCTCTTCGCTTTCCATTCAAGCTTGCGATTCTTCCCTGTTTCCCTATAACACTTACTTCCACGGCCTACACCTTAACTCTCCAAGGCGACTAGGTCTCAAGGTGTAGACCACCGCTATCTATTTTTTTATCAAGGCGTCCTGCACCATAAACACTTCGCAGACCAAGCGGCCCACGTGCTGGAACATCTCTACAGAGATATAGTTTACTTTCACGTCTTGACACTGCTTTTGACTATTATACGAAAAGCTTTCCTCTATTAAGCTGCCACTTGCATTTCAGCTAACGAGACTCAAATCCTATTGCAGATTACGCCTGATCACAAAGGCAATCATGTCAACTGGAGGCATCATGTCGGGAGCTGACCGCGCCGGGGGTGGGGGGGGCCCTCTACTCCCAACTTTCCATGGCTATATCGCAAGTACTATGGACGCTCTCATATTATTTGAAGCTTGTCTTGGTGGTCGTCTGAGCCACGTACCTAGACGACCCCATGACAGGGAACGATCCGAACTCATCGCCAGTGGTAATGTTTTCATGTATGAGGAGCACTCATCTGGAATAAAACGCTGGACAGATGGCGTCCCATGGAGCCCTAGTCGCATTCTGGGCAACTTCCTCTTGTATCGCGAGCTCGACAAGCCCTTCCAGCCAGGTGAGAAGAAACGAGCTATGAAGCGACATAGGAACGATTCGATGATCACGAAACCCACCGGCCACTCAAGGGCGAGCTCAGTCGGCAACTATGCCAGCGCTATCATCGATGGAGGTGCCTCTATGTCAAACCTTGACAGCGCGACAAGCGCGCGCAACGATGCTGAACGAGCTCTCGTAGGCTCTCTCATCGATTCGTACCAGTTCAGGCGCGACGGTCTCGTCAAAAAGACCATCAGTGTCACTTACAATGGTGTACAACACCACCTGGTTTCGTACTACAGCATCGAGGACGTTATCCAGAACAAGCTTCGCACTCCGAGCCAAGATCCCGCGCTGCGAGACATTGCTCCTCGCGCGCCCCTGATATCATCGAGCAGTTTTCGGGCCCCCGTAGACGACAACGAAGTCATGCTGGCTGAACCGCATTTCCGGGGCATTATGAACCCATCTTATAACAGCTTCGGCATGAACGGAGCTTCGAGATCGTTTTCGATGCCGAGCATGCATACTTTTGACCAGGTACCTTGGACAGGCTCTAGTCAATATGCTCCACCGTACAGTGTAGGCCAAACATTGCCACCCCCGGTGCCCTACACTTCAGCATCTTCATATAACTATGATCATAACCCTACGATTTCATACGGCATGGCTCCACGACCTCCTATGCCGTATCCTCAGCAGGTAGCCATAGTACCCCGAAGGCACTCGACCATGAACGGAACAAACGGAAGTATTGACTATTCCGGACTCTCCCACCTTGATAGAACCCCAATGAGCACAACCCAGCTCATCGGCAATGACGGTAGTCTCGGAGGCCAGAATATTCCAAACCAGTCATCGTACTCGAACGGGGCTATGTTCGAAACATCAGCTACTGCCGCCGCCGCCGCTGCCGCCGTTGCGAGCACTTCTTCCAGTTACCACCGTGATGCGTATGATCATAACAGTGGCAACCAAAATAGTGGTCTATATAATAACGGCGTCTCCATGAATACATCTTCCGGAATCGACGGCCAAGTAGAGAACGGCTTCGATGCTAGAGCTGCTCATAATGCCTCGCAGGATTTCAGCACCTCGTTATCGGAACCCCGTGGGCATAATTCAGTTGCCGCCAGCCAGGATGATGCATCCGCCGCCATGCAGCTTGGACTTGGGAATGCAGATCCTGCATCTAATTCGATGACGGATGCCGACTGGGCTGCTGGCTTTATGCCAAATGAAAGTTATGAACAGTGAGTAGATCCGTAACAGCATTCCATACACAATCTTCTAACGCTTTAAAGGGACGAGCAGGGTCAAGAGGATGCGGAAGGAACTCCCACCTTACAGTTAACTCTACGGCGATTGGACATGCCAGATGGAGATCGGAAACTGATGAACTAATTCATTAGGATAGGGGCACACTACTCCTTACCAGTGAAAAAGCACCTACGTTTCTATACCGCTTCCGAATCCCTTTCTATTCCGATTTCCTAGCATTACGTTATTATGGCATTGCCTTATTATGTACTTCAGCTCCAAGTAGCGGGGTTTTGAGTTTTTATGGCAAGGTGTCAGCGACGATCTTGGGGCCCGCGTCCGATCTGGAAGAATCATAGAGCGTTGGCGTCCGGCGCAGTCAGGGAATATCGTCTTTTCGATAATTGATACCTGTGGTTCTTTACCACCGCGATCGCATATCGCCATTACAATTGCCACCAGAACGGCTCGCAAGTATAAATCCATTTTCTACCGATTATACGAATCCAGCCGGTCTTAGTATGGAGGTGGCGATCCTTTTGAGTTTTGTTTTTATTTGATTTCTTTCCCCTTCTCACATTTCACTACCCGCTTTCACCATCGGATCATGGCCCTTTTGTTTCCCATCGTCTTCATTATCACTTTCTTCATTGGAGCTTGAACTTGTTCATGGACCAATTGTGCGAAACTTGTGGTGTTTGTGTCAGGTTTGATCCTGCCAGAGTAAACCGGGAGTTTTTATTTGATGATGGCAGCAGTGTTTCGGAGAGGAAAGTCTGGGCTTGTCGACACAAGAGGTGTCTATTCCTAGGCGGATATCACTAGATGGTACTCCTCCGTATCTAGAACATTGATTACCTACATAGCAATAAAAACATTTATCTCGGCATATATTCTCTCAGGCGTTGAGGTTGAGGGGTTTGCATATGGTTAATTACCTACCTAATATGTGATCTAATATGTGATAATGTCAGGATTCTAGATAAGACACCTAGAAAAAAGGACGTTGTAAATATGTATAGCCGTAGGCTCCCGTAGCTAGCTTAGAGTTCCTCGCGGAACAACAAAGTTGTTTTCTAGCTTCTTGGTCCACCTCGTGACAGATAAACGTGTTTAACGGGTCAGAAAAAGCCTGACCTGGCCTGGGTATAGACCTTTATATTAAAGATCCATCCGACTCGGGCTTGAATTATTTTTGTCTTGTTAGCAGACAGGTAAAAATGAGATCTCTTTCATATATACTTGGGGCAATATTATTGGCTTGTGGGCAGGCATGTGGTTTTATAAAGGCTTGCAGTCCAGTTTGACGATACGACCAGGTAAACATATTTTTCCAGCATATCCAACTTGGCCTAGCCTATTGAACTCGCTGTCTGTGATATCAATAATCTTGTAGAAATTGACGAGGTTGTATAGAACTAGACATTAGGAACAAGATGGTTTATATATATGGCTTTTTCTTTTCATCTATTTATAGGTGTCTAGAACCCTGTTCCGAGGCCAACAAAACATTTAGATGATATCATTTTTGTGCGGGCAGAGTTAGGTTACGATATTTTGTAGGGTAATAGAGTTGCTTTCATACTTATTCGTGTTGCCGGGAGAGGTTAATTTATGATGCTTTGGTTGATTATGCTCTTGTTATTACGAAGTAGGACTAGGAAGCGTGGAAATAACTTCATTGTTCTGCGAGGAACTCTGAAGACTAAACTTAACTATGGAAGCATATAGTTAATTATACATATACATATACATATGCATATGCATGGCAGAAATATCCTTTGTTCTAGATGTATCATCTAGTATTAGGTATAACATTCACATGAGCTCAAGTTAAAAGGGGTTTTGGGTTGGATTTTTATTAGTCTAGTGTTAGTGACTTATCATATTTACGTACTTCGTAGACGTTGAACATTGCCTTATCAATTGGTTCCTATTACTAAGCCGCGGCTCTATGGGTGGGGACCTGTTGTGGAACATGGAAATATCTTGGCGCTTCGCAGCCAATGACGCCGGGGAATGGCATAGCTCCAATTGCACGGTGCCGGAATACAACTTTTTTCAAACTGTGGGCTCCAACTACCTTCCAACCTGCTGTTTCTTAAGCTGGATCACGAGCTTGCGAACCATAATTAGATACCTTCTCAGTGGCGCCGTTTTATTTTCTGGTAAAAAGGATATTGTTTAGCGCGGCCGTTCCCGGGCTATTGAGTCGGCGGTTGTTGCCAGTTGGTGCTATCTCGATAGATTCATCACCGGTCTTTGCTCGCGTTGGAAGAAACAGCGTCTTGTCGGTTGATTTGTTTGGTTCGGGTGTACTGCGGTCGCGAGTAATATGATACGCTCGATATGACTTCACGGGCTCTATGCGGTGGCGCGCGAGCCTTATGCGGTGGCGCGCGAGCCTCTCGCAAGTGTCCGAGTTTGGGTTCGACGAGTCTAGGCGTGAGCTTGCTATGCGCTGATCTGGCTGCAACGTCCGGGAGACTTGGGGTGACTCCTTCTATGTGGAGGTCTGCGCATAGCATACGGACGTATCCGTTGAGACCGAATGAAGCTACGCGTTCGAGTTTCACCTTGGCTGGGGCTAGCAATGCCGGAGTTAACCTCTGGCTTGGGTCCGGGTGTAGGAGGTCTTTTTCGCGGACTAGCATGGTTCTTGAGGAGCAAGACAAAGCTAAGGGGAAGGGCCAGTACGTCTTTCTCGTTGTTTTATGGGCTCGCTTCATGTTGAATCTCACAAATCCTCCATGACCTTTTCTCAACTCTCTAAACCGATGAGCCGACCTCGTCATAGCGCGTGCACGCTAACATTAGATACAGAGTTTCCCCCGAAACATCTTCAAAACCAACCGTTGAGGAACCTAGAGGACTCCGGAAGGTCATTCCCAAAGTAATACCCGCGTTGACGCAGCACGAGAACATCTATACGGTTCCCAACCTGCTGACGTTTTCGCGTCTCATCGCCGCGCCTTTCATCGGCTACGCCATTGTGCACGACGCGCATACTCTGGCCCTGGGCCTTTTTGCTTACGCGGGCTTCTCGGACCTTTTGGATGGTTGGATCGCTCGCAGATGGAAACTCCAGACTGTTGTTGGGAGTGTGGTCGATCCTATGGCGGATAAGATGCTCATGACGGTGTTGACTGTGTGTCTTGCTTACAAGGGGGCGCTGCCTGGTACGTGCTTAACTTTATTTTCCTTGGTCTTTCGTATTTCTTTTCCTGTCTTACGTGCGTGTTGTACGTGCGTAGTGTCATGTGACTGGGCTGTATCTACGGCTATTGAGTTTGTCTCTAACCCTACTGTCGTGCTTATGTCATATCGGGATTTATATGGGAATTGATGTGCTAACATACAATCAATAAAGCATGGCTAGCCGTAATAATCCTAGGGCGTGATGTCGGCCTGGGCATCGCCGCCATTTACTACCGGTGGATATCTCTCCCGCTGCCGAAGACCTTTACGCGCTACTGGGACTTCTCCCTACCGTCGGCCGAGGTTCGTCCCACTACTATTAGCAAGTATAATACATTCTTGCAGCTAGGGCTGATGGGAGCTACTATGGTGACGCCTATTTTAACCGCGGATGTTGGAATGGCCATGACGGCGTTTCAGTAAGCAGCTTCCCTTTGCTTTATGATTGGCAATGAGTCGAATCTAAATGGGATTCGATAATTATTACTATTTCTAACTAAGCCCAGGTACTTGGTTGCGACTACAACTGTTTGGAGCGGTCTGAGCTATGTGTTCAGTAAGGATGCGGTCAGGATCTTGTCTGAGAATAAAGGCAAGTCCAAAGGTAAGTAGCTTATTGAACACCACAACCGTTTATATGATGTTTCGGTCATCTTGAAGCTTTAAAGAAGTTCCTGCTCCCTAAAGGGGAAGCCTAACCCCTCTTGTGGTTTATATATCGTGTACATTATGACAGGTCATATCAGGCGGATAAGGAAATGTACCGGTATGCAATTTTTGGATCGGCATGAGCGTGTTGGTATCTGTATGGCATGGCAAAGAAAATAAGGCATCTCATTATTTCCCATCTAATTTCACCCCTTTCGATATTTTGACTTGTTTGCCAGCAAGGAGCTACAAGGGAGCACGTGACACGAATAGAAGAGCTCAAACTTAGAAAGCGTTAATTTAAGGTAGATTATTCATCCGGCAGGAGACCCACCGCCTTCTACAATCAGCCGCATGCCCCACACCGCCTGCCGATCTAAGCTTATTTTCCTTATCGCCATTTCTTATCGAGAAATTTTGAGTTCAAAGATGGCGAGGTGAAAAGTACAAAATTCACGAATTGGGCTTGCTACTTATCATATCGTAATATTACGAGTATGAGGAAAGCTTGGAGGCCTCGGGGCTTAAGCCGGCCCAATAGTGCGATCCGAAGACCCTTAACCTCATTAGGTCTTCATCGAAGTAACTTTGCCACTGTCGCTCAGGACGCGAGGTTTGTATATGAAGCCATTCTTGAATGTATAAATGTAAGCTAATTTTAAGGTGCAGACCATTTGATGTTGTAGTAGTCGGCGGGGGTCATGCTGGAACAGAGGCATGCGCAGCTGCTGCTCGAAGCGGCGCGCGAACGGCTCTGGTTACACCAAAGCTTGACAACCTCGGCGTCTGCTCGTGTAATCCCAGCTTTGGCGGGATCGGAAAGGGAACGATAATACGAGAGGTCGACGCGCTAGATGGAGTTTCTGGACGTATCATCGATAAAGCTGGCGTCCAGTTCAAAGTCCTAAACCGGAAGAAAGGCCCGGCCGTGTGGGGACCGCGAGCTCAGATCGACCGGGCGCTGTATAAAAAACACATGCGTGAAGAACTCCAATCATATCCGAATCTATCTATCATAACAGGAAGTGTATCAGATATTGTTCTAGGCGAGAGCGCAGATCCTACTAGCGGTTCGCCCAAGAGCAAAATTACCGGCGTGCGCCTCGAGTCCGGCGAGGTATTACCCACCAATGCCGTTGTTATTACCACCGGAACTTTCCTAGGTGGCGAAATACATATCGGGCTAGATGTCTACCCATCGGGACGGATGGGCGAAAAGGCCACATTCGGTCTCAGCAAATCTCTAAGAGATGCTGGCTTTAAACTTGGTAGATTAAAGACGGGTACACCTCCTCGTTTACATAAAGGGAGTATCAACTTCGATATTTTAGAAGAACAGCGAGGAGACGATCCACCGGAACCGTTCAGCTACCTTGACGATAGGGTGTCGGTGCAGGACCAGCTTCTCTGCTGGGCCACTTATACAAATGACAAATCCCATGACATCGCACGCGCTAACTTAGACAAGACGGTTCACATCCGTGAGACGGTGAGGGGTCCACGGTATTGTCCGTCGCTGGAGTCTAAGGTTATCAAATTCGGTCATAAAGAGAGGCATATTGTCTGGCTAGAGCCGGAGGGCTTCAACAATGATACTATCTACCCAAATGGTCTGTCCATGACGATCCCCGCCGAGGCACAGGAACAACTACTACGCACGATCCGCGGACTTGAAAACGTTCAGATGACTCAGGCTGGCTACGGTGTTGAATACGACTACGTGGATCCGCGCGGTCTCAGGTCGACCCTCGAAACCAAAGCTATCTCCGGTCTCTTCCTCGCAGGCCAAATCAACGGCACTACGGGCTACGAGGAGGCTGCCGGCCAGGGCGTTATCGCGGGTATTAATGCGGGGCGCACAGCTCAGGGGTTGGAACCGGTCTCAATCACGCGCGCTGACGGATACATCGGCATCATGATTGATGATCTAATCACTAAGGGCGTATCAGAGCCATACCGCATGTTCACAAGCCGTAGCGAGTACCGCATGAGCACGCGCGCCGACAATGCAGATCTTCGACTCACAGCCAAGGGCCGCGAGTGGGGCGTCGTAACGGATACCCGATGGTCGCGGCACACGGACGAGAAAGCGCAGATAGATGACCTGACCCGCGCTCTAGAACAATACGCACTCACCGCACCAGCATGGAACGCAGCCGGCTTCGCCAACCGCAACGATAGCAGGAAGCGCAATGCGCTAGACATCCTATGCCTCCCAGGCGTTTCGATTGGGGATCTTACAGCACAAGTTCCGGAGATTCTACGACATAGCGAGCGAGTCCGTACGCGCGTGGAGATCGAGGCGCGCTACGCCCCGTACGTTCATATACAAGCGGCTGAACGTGCGGCGTTCTTGCGCGACGAAGGCCTTCGGTTGCCGGCGGATTTAGACTACGACTCTGTGGCGGGGTTAAGCACGCATGAGAGAGCGGCGTTGAACGAAGCAAAGCCCGAGAGCGTCGGTCAGGCTAGGCGGATTGAGGGTATGACACCTGCAGGCTGTGTGCGATTGCTTGCTTTTGCGCAGAAGAGGAAGGAGTTTGCGTATGCGAGTAGCGGTATGGTTGCGGATGAGGGTGTGGTGGAGGCGGCGGTGGCTGATATGGCGCCACTGGGGGGCGAAGTTGATACTCTGGATGCGGAGGCGCGCAGGAGGGAACTATAAACCCCTGGATGATGCGGGTAAGAGGGGGAAGGGTTAAGATATGTATATGTATATGTGGGCTGTACTTATACTAAGCGACACATAATTAGGGCGTTGGGGTTAGAATCATTAGCATTGTACATATCACTTGATTTATCTAGGAGTCTACTTGTTTTCAAGTAGAGCCTTGGTGAGCACTTAAGCCCCTATCTACCTACCTAGGCATCATCTGAACCCATGGAGTATATCTCCCCATTAGATCCTGCGAAGCTTGCCGAATAACCAATATGGTTAGTTAGTACCTAACGCGAACGCTCGCGCTGTGCTATCGAAAACTTGTATTGCTTATTTCTATCAGGTATCTATATAGGTTATGAAATACAAAGGAAAGTTTGTATATTGAGCGAGGGGATGGGTTATGTGGGTGTGAACAGCTTTGGAATCTTTTGCCGTTGTAAGTTTTACCTTCAACTCATATCTTCCTTAGTCTAGAGATATCCGGTTTGTTATCTGCTGAAAGATATGGTATATGAGCTGTAGTTGTATATTGACTTGATCTACCAACTATATGAGTGAGGAGGGAGGTCCTTCTTATATATACATTCCATGCCAAGATACCATGTACTGTACCTGAAAGTAGTCCCTTGACCACTCATTTCAATATTATCTACCGCCTCCGGCATATCTTTCAATCTAATTTCTCGTTAGCCACCTGTGTATCGTAGTACAATCTACGGCCAGTTCCCGATTACCTACCTTCAAGTCCGCCTACACGCACTAGAAGGCTAGAAGACTGTGTGACCTCTACTGACCATAGTGTTAACAATACTTCTCGTCGATTCTGTCTCCTCTATCCGTCAAATCTGCTCGCCATGCATGCACTCATCTGAGGTCGTCTACTGACGAGGTAGGAATCTGAGTATTAGAACGGCGAGGGTAACCTACAATATACTACTTAATAAATCCAGCCGAATGGTTTGCTATGGGAAATTCAAAATACCTTGACCCAGAGGTGGGATACGAATGGTGGCTTGGACCAAAACAGAGTTGACAGCAATCGCTTGTTGGATCGTATTATTATTCCCGTATATGTTCGTAATGTTTCTCGTGCTCTCTGAGGTCCTCTGCCTAAATAAGAGAAGAAGGAGTACTATTTGTGGGAGAACAAGAATTGAACGGAAATCAACCTCGATCTCTCCATTTCGTATATGAATACAACTGAAGCCGCTAACTGCAACAAGCAGAAATCCAATCGCTTGAATCCATATCTTTTCCCCTATAATATTCCCATTATCCACGGTAGAAGCGAAATTTAGCGGCGAATATAATTGAATACAATACTGGTCCGGGAAATTCCTCTGGGGCGGTTCTATTGTGAGGTCACTGATTTGATTGCAAAGTGCCTCTGAAGACTTCATTTTAGGAATGAGTAGTATCGATTAGTGAAGACGAGTTTTCAGGGCCCTTCAGGAGATAATTTCTCTTAACCCTGAGAAGTTGTTGGAGAACTAATGGCCGGGTTAGGTAATATTTTTAAACTTCAGATGATGATGATGATGGTCTAGTACTCTGTTAAGTAGCAAAGCAAAGATGAGGATATTTATGGTGGAATATAAATTAATGACGGTAGAGGCAAACTACTTCTAATACATACATGTCAACGCAAGTTCGAGACCAAGCCTATGACCATTGACCGGTACGTCAATTAGGCCCATGTAGCAGGATGTTAGATAGCCTCGGAAGGTAGAGTTACGCACATTTCGGGCAACTGGAAAGTCTGGACAACTCGGCATGGAGTCACACTTTACAATAACTCCTTAGCAATCTTTATGATTTTACCCTCATACCCATCTTATTCACATTTATTTTTACCATCTATTAGTGAGTCTTAGTGTCTTGGATCACCGTAACTTGCCTTTAAACCCAATAAATTCTTCCCCCTTAGATTCTTACATGTTCTCTTTGATTTAGATTATGCATACCAAGCACCTCGGTGGAAAGGTGATATTGTTAATCGTCTTTACGTCATCCGTCGCTTTCTGTTGGTCCGGGGTCTCCGAAACGGTTAGTTCCTGACCGGTTCCCGATAATCCTAGATCATAGGATCCGGGCCGATAGCCCCAATACGACATTAGCCGAACTCCCGAGCAAGCCATGAGGCTCATCCCAGTAGCATATAAGCGCCAACATTATTCACAGCCAAGTATGAACTATGCTGTTAGGTGTATCGGAAGCGCCAAATGCTACACCACTCCTCACTAAAACCAATCAGAAAATATATCACACAATGTTATCAGATATCATATTTCTACCACCCCCACCTTCCTGTCATCCGTTCAAGGATCCAAGGTGTACGACAGGCATATACTACACTTTACCTAATTTCGATTTATTCTTCCGAGGTAGCCAAAAAGCCCCAGCACTTGTTGTCTTTATATATCAGACAGATTTTCATGTAAAGCCTCACTCAAGACACGTAGCGAAACTTACCTCCTATAGTAGAAGGTTGTACTCTATTCATATCTTCAGTTCCTGAGGAGTGAAAATTTCATTGAATTCATCAAGGCAAGTAATAACCCCTAATAGATTGTCCTGTTATATATCTAGATGCCATGGACTAATTCGTATATTACCACAGACACGAGGTCGTCAAGACATCTATTTTTCGATAACAATGGCCTCAGAGAAACAAAGCCCACCACCCCCATATCTCGAGATTTCTAGTTCGGTATCACCGGGGAACAAGGCAGCAAACTACGGACACGACAATGCAGTAGCTCAGTCCGGAGAAGGACATTCGAGCGAAAGTCATGGGGACAGGAATTTAACAGGTCAAGCTGGGACAGATGGGCACTGGAACATAAATGAAGGGAATCGAAATCAAACATTGCAGATTTCGAGCGTCGTGGCCATCGTCATTATCACTGGTTTCTTGGCTGTGGCATATGTACTTGGGTCTTTACTCTTCTTGTTGTTTCACCTGTTCAAGGAAAAGCTCATGGCACATTGAAACGTTAGAGTATTGTGACTCAATAAATTTTATGAGATTGATACATAGCCCTGTATCTACTTCTGATGCATGAATTTGACATACTTCCTATGAAGAATAGAGAAGTCTAGGAGACGTAGAGGAATTAGGCCGATAACTCTCTTGGAACTCCATAGTAGAGCTCATCGGGCGGAAGATGGATATACTTCTGCCGGAGATTATTCTGCCAAGTGTTGATGCTAATTAACACCATTCCAGAGAGCCACGAGAGCAGTGTGAGGCTGTCAGAGAGGTTGAGCGTTTCTATATAGTACGGGGGTATTCTCATCAGAATGTAAGAGAACAGATGTCTTACCTCATGAGCCAGGGCTTTTTTTTTTTGCCCGAGTCAACAGTATTTTTCTACTTTTACTCATTGTCATGTCAAGATCGCACTTCAGTAGATACGCAGTTGGCAAGGTACCTGTTTGATTATAAGCACTGAAATTATGTGACATCGATCAATCCCGCCACTTCATCATCCTACTGGGTGGGAGCAGCGCTCACCCACACCCATGCCATATTCCACGCCCATTGCCAATAGTTTATATATTGCAATAAATGTGGCTGACCTTGGAGATGTAGCGCACATTCTCCGAGATCTCCTTCGTTGCATGTATTTCCGCTACAGTTCCCGGAATCATGCTTGTGACCAACACCAAATTGAGTGGATGTATGCCTGTTCATACCGGTTAGGCTCTCATTGTTCGCGCCGTTCTGACCTGTCCGATTTTTATGCCCGTCCGTCCTGGAAACGTTTTTAGCGCCAAATTGGGCTGTCCCGTTCTTGTTCCCCTCGACTCTGTTCTGCTGCTGTAAACCTTGCTGGGAGGTTCTGTTGAAATTTCCTTGATTGAAATTCCAGTGGCCACTCCCATGTTGAAATACAGTATTGTCATTGCCTATGGCTTGGGATGTATGTCCCTGGGCTTCATCTGAACTGCGATAATAGGCAATGATCTGGGTGAATGTTCTGAACATTTTTGCCAAATATATGTTGAGAGCAAAAGCTAATTGTTGGAAACCTATTCCACAGTAAGTTAGCCTCATGATAAGTAGGGAGCTATAATGATACTATACAGTAGCTTCCTAATAAGTTACTCTGCTGTAGTGGCTATTGGTATCAAGCTGTTTTTTCAGGTCGAGTTTCATAGGGGAATACTGTTCGTCGAGCTCCAAATTTTCACAGGGGCGAAAAATAATGAGATCTATCATGCTTCTTTATATATATTAGGGCCTTAAGTATTTGTTGGCTATTAGCCGTAACCACTATCTAGGAAGCAGACAAGAATAGGTTGCTGTACTGTGTATAAAGCATAGGTCCCAACAGTGTGACCTAAGGTGGCCCCTTTCTGCGATTATACCATGATTTGACGAGTAACTTGTGATCAGCCAGCATGTGATGGCGACCATATGCATGTAACTCCTATCACAATCCCCTAGCTGTACATACCATGGTGCGAATACACCGGTCCGGGTTCCCCGCGCTTCAGACCATGATATTTCAAATGCCTATGAAAACGAATGCGGGTATAGCTTAGAATTATTATGTTCAGGTATATGCTATTCCAAACAAGACCAACCTACCCTACAAGGCGTAATAAAGTGCATATGAAAAGAGGAGAAGGATAATAAGCAGAGGCGATAGACTAGCACAGCTTGAGAAAATGTTAGTTCTCGGCGGTATTAGGTAGAATATTTGACATGATCATGCAACAGGGTCGCTTTGCCCATTTCCCCTCTTTTTATGTGACTACTTTCTTAAAGCAACCAACAGTCAACTCAGCCACACTCGGTTCGTCTCTCGGGGTTTCTAAATGGTATAGGCATAGCCGATGCGCGGCCCGAACTAGTCGGTGCCAAGCGGACCTTTCCCGTCCCAACAGACATACTAACCAACACCCATACATCTTTTATAGAAATTTTTAGTAAGTAGATCATATCGTCATATACGTATCTAGTTGAATCAAAGGGGGTGTACAGAGCCATCAAGCGGGCCTAATGGTCATAGGCCCGCTACCTCCACTTCTGCGGTTTAATATCAGGTAGCCTTGTCACGAACACACGAATATACGTCCCAGATGCGGGCTGATACCTAGCAGTGCACCAGTCAAGAATATAACCCTGAATTCGATTTACAGCGCAAGTGGCTAATCCCCAAGGAATGTGAAACTCATAAACTGGTATTTCCGTTAAAAACAATCAGTTATGACCCGCTCTCACACTATTAATCATGACATATAACTTCGCCCAGATAGCCTGCAGAGCCTCTAAGTTTCCAACGGGAAAAATTCTCGTATTAACTATTAGCCTATCTACCTTCTCCCAAGCTCCCTCCTCAACCGCCCCGCGGTTGTAGTCGGCGGCGGCTCCGGCCACGACGACACCGCATCATCAACCTCCTCAAGGAACGTAGCTGCGTTATGGATGTTAGTCCCACCCAAGACGACTCTAATGCCGGGCGACGAAGCGTTGATGCTAGCGACCGTCTTAGCCTCCTCGTACGTCGCGCCACCAATCACAAACACTATGATATCCTGGGGCTTGTCCCGCGTCGTGCCGCCGCCCTCTACAAACGGGTACTGCTGCTCGCGGAGCCGGCCCTTAATTACATTCTGCAGCGTCGTCTCCAAGTGCGGCGAGTGCTGCGTGTACACGTTCTCAACGCCCTTTAGCCCCTTTATGGCCCGTGCGCCCGAGAAGATACCCCCTGACTCGAAGATATCCGCGATGCCGCCGGCTGCCTGGGACTGCTGTAGGGAGTGGCGGTAGATTAGTAACTTCGCTACTAGATCTGCCTGTCGCGCAGGTACACCACCGGCTGCTGTTAGCAAGTCTACTAGCATAGCTAGCGAATTTGATGGGTGCTTTTCATATCGTAGTGCATACAGCGCCACGAGTCCGACCTTGTTCTCGGGCGTTACGGACGGGGACTGTATTAACCTCTGGACGTTCTATATAAAGTTAGCCCCTTAAGCCTTTCTGTTAAGGAATTAGGTTATTATACCCTTAAGTCGGTAGCGTGATTGTCGTTACAAGCCAAGCTTTGCTCGACCTCGCTGACCTCGAGCAAATTCTCGGCGCCTACTCGTCGGCTAAGTTCCGAGACCAAGGTAACGTGCTTGCTAACGTTTCCGGAGAGTTTTCTGAATTCTGGGTACTCCTCGATGAATCGTTTCATATCCGTAATTGACTCAATGTTAGCGTTGTTCTTCGTCTTGGACTGGTACTGCTCCACGTAATCTTTGATGTTCCCGCCGAGGTCGCCAAAATTTAAGTACATATTCTTCTTGAAGAACGGATCTTGGTCTTGCGATAGTACTATCTCTTTAAGTTCTGGACGGACATCTGGGACCTCGTCCAGGGTAACCCGTCCGTTGTGAATCCCGAGCAGCTGGTGTACCATGGCCTGGTATGTCCATTGATTGAGTAGTGGCGTAGCAGGATCCTCTCTCCGGTCTAGAATAAGAAGTATCGGCGGCGTGTCTACTTTCCTAAAATCGAATAATTGCTCCTCCTGGGTGATGTGATATCTCACTTCGGTGGCTAGTTTCTTAGCCAGCAAGCTATTCCTCTCATACCGGATGAGTGGCTTCTTCTTAAGCGACAGCAGGATAGCTATCAATCCGTCGGTAGTCCGCTGCAGCGAGTCGTGGTTCCATAAGTCCGGATTGCCGCTCCATATTCTCTGCTGTGGTAAGGTAAGATTGAGTGAAAACAGGTCTGGGTTGATAACGAGGTAATCGGCAAAGTGCTCTTGAACCTGCTTGACGACCTCGTGATCATCGGCTTCGGCCAATCTTTCTAATGACGACTTCTTCACGACGTTGCTGAAATACAAGTAGTATTCGCCGTACTTGGGGTCTCGTAGCTCATCAATTAGAAATTGGATGGAATCTGGGGATGGCCGGACAAAGCACAGACATCTCAAATGTCGCATCTTCTCTCGATTCTGGTTATCGAGTCGATCGGTAAGATAGACTTCATGATTAAGTAGAGACGATTGTGTAATGGCAGTAGAGACGATTGGTACTGTGTCCTTATCTAATAAGAGTATCTTCATCTTTGCGGATGGAGTCCCCGATGCGCTGTCCCCGGCCGATACCATCTTAGAGATGTAGCCGGAGACGGCTTGAACAACATCCATCTTGGTCGGCTCCGCAAGATGTTGCAATAGAAAGTATTCCTGAATCTAGGGTTATAGCAGAATTGATTTCAAATAAGAATCACATTTGCTTGCTCCTCAGTAAATGAATATGGTTGCAAGATCGCAAGGTTTCTAGTTGTCGCTTATAAGTTGTTGGTGGACGAATTAAAGGGAGGTTTAAGCTCATGCGGCTTAGAGGATAGATCGTCATTATAGCAGGGGTCTACTAGTGTGCGTTGTAAATGCCAAATGACGTTAACGTATCCGGTACTTGATTCCACTTATATATGCTTAGTAAATTGGAGTAGTGAGTACCTCCCCGATAAGATAAAGACTCAAGCTTATGCAGGACAGCTCTGAAAGCTGCTAGATTAGAAAAGTTTAAAGCTTCCATCCTCCCGCTTGAATCTCGCAATTGCTTCATTTTTAGATTGTTCAAGGTTTTTTGAAGTTTCTCTCTAGATGTCATAAGCCAAGATGGCTGCGGCTACGGACGTGTGTCCGATGAAGTCTGAACCGACGTAGGTGAACCTACTAATTTCCGATCGTTATTTATACTAGTTATATAATATGATAGTCTAACTTCATCACCTGGAAATAGCTTGTCGTTCACCCAAGGGCTCATCGTCGGCCAAATCTCCGTCGTACTCCTCCTAGCCGCATTTATAAAATTCTTTATATTCGGAGAAGCTCCATCGGCCGAAATAACGGCCTCCATGAGAGCTGCCGAACGTCGATCCCGTACCCTCGCCCACCGACAATCCATTCTTACTCTACGATCGACGACACCAACTACGGCGAGGCCATCCCTACCGCCAACGCTGAACAAGAAGAAATCGAGTATACTCCGGAGCCCGCCTACGCTTACGATAGGTTCCATATTAAATAAGACGTACTATAATGTCGATAGCCACCAGCCCGAGTCGCTGGATTGGTTTAATGTCCTTATCGCTCAAACAATCGCCCAGTTCCGCAGCGATGCCCAGCAGGACGACGCGATACTTACCTCCCTCACCAAGGCTCTCAACGGCACCTCGCGTCCGGGCTTTCTTGACGAGATCAAGGTCACCGAGTTGACCTTAGGCGAGGACTTCCCCATCTTTAGTAATTGCCGCATCATACCCGTAGACGAGGATGGTTTAAGCCTAAACACGGGCCCCAACGGGGAGAAGCGCTTCGATGCCAACAGTTCTCGGGCGAAGCGTGAGGGGTCGCGGCTGCAGGCCCGGATGGATGTCGACCTCAGCGACATGATTACACTAGCGCTCGAGACCAAGATCCTTCTCAACTATCCGAAGCGGCTAACAGCTGTATTGCCTGTCGCGCTCGCTGTCAGCGTTGTGCGCTTTAGCGGCACCCTAAGCATCTCTTTCATCCCGTCAAACCCCTCGCAGTCAACACCAACTATGATGGCATTCAGCTTCCTCGACGACTACCGCCTTGACTTCTCTGTGCGCAGCCTCGTAGGCAGCCGGTCGCGGCTACAGGACGTACCCAAGATTGCCCAGCTCGTCGAGTCTCGCTTACACCGTTGGTTCGATGAGCGTGCAGTTGAGCCCCGCTTCCAGGAAATCGCGCTGCCTAGTCTCTGGCCGCGCAAGAAGAACACGCGTGGCGGTGACGACCCTCTAGAGGCAGTCTCGACGGCGTCAAGCAGCATGGGCAAAGGCAAGGGCCGTGAAGTTGCCAAGGATGTCAGAGAGGAAGCCTTTAAAGAAGTTCAGGCTGAGGCCGCTGCAGGACAGAGACGTGAGCTGAGCCCACCTGATAGTCTGAGATACCGACGGGCTAGGGGTCGGGATGATGCCTCTAGTACAGGAGGATTTAGCATGCCGGGAAGTTTACCGGGAATGACACTTGATCTACCGACTTGATTCTAGCTAATCTTGCTGTTGCGGTTGTAAAATCGACGACATGGTCGAGATATCGTACCAAATATCAGGGCTCCACTCAAGCGACACCGGGCCGTGAGCTCATGGGAGGATGAGGCGACAGTACCCCGCAATCAAGGCAGTACGGTCAGATTGCAGTTATCTACTCCTTTGTCGCCTAGTGGGGCTGTCACCAAGTGCTGGGCAAACATTCCCTACGTGACCACTAGGAGGGGCGAAGCAAGCAGGCCGCTCGCCGAGTTAGGGGAGCCGTTAGGAAGCATCTTGTATGATTCAGCCATGTACGAAACGTAGAGAATGCGGGTTCAGTCCCATAATAGCTAGCTAGATAGCAGCGCTATGTATATCCCGTAAGCTACCAGTAGGTAGCTATACGTGTTGTATTAGATTGGTCGTTGCCAAATAGAGAAGCAACAATATCACGATGTATACCAGATATAATATACTTGAAGAAAAAACCAGTTTTTACAGTGTCCCTGAACCGGTTTGAGAAATATATGAACTTGACAAGTAGCACACTACCTAGAAGACTTCCATACTATCAGGCTTCAGCCAGGATTAGTTGCTAGATGGAAACTCTTACATTTTATATGATATTTAGCCCTGACGTATCTATCCTTCCGGAGAATAATGAATGTAAAATACCAACTACCTCTTGTAGACAAACGACCACCTACTCAGTTTAGATCTTCGACTATGCTCGCAAAGACCCGAACATAGACTAAACGAATTTGATCCAGATTGATATAATATATAAAGATAAGTGATTTGAATAGCTTCCAAACATACAACGTCGATATACGGGCCATGCTTAACTTACAAGAGAACAAGAGAGACTGCACTACCTCATAATTTTCCGATTACTAACTTCCTTATACTTGCCATTGCTCAGTCATAATTATAAGTCTTAAGTCCTTAGCAGGTAAATACCCGTATCAAACTAATATCTACATCTATAATAAGTCAATTTTATATAAAATAAAAGGCCGTTAAATCCAAGTTCAACGATTTTAGGACCATTTGTATTTTACAAGTTGATTTCAATTACCTCCATGTCAATTATATAAAACATATTTATCAATGCCGGAAATATTCACGCTTAGCCTAGAAGTAGATAGGTTTATAAACAAGTTTATTACTGACTTAGGAACTTAAATATGCAAAAAAGAGTTATAGGGTTAAAGGCTGGGGAGACTTTAATCATTTGATAATCCAGCTAGTAATTCGAGTATAGATTTGGTAGCAATGCCCTTTGCATGTCATCACAAGTACAAGTAGTTATCACTTATAACTAGTTGTTATATGTCTCTAGTTACCAAACTTAGCAAGCTGTAAAACTACGTCTTGCTACGTGGTAAACTAGGTGGTTTGAATCTGGGATTAGAATCGAGGGTGATAGCTTCGAGATGGGCTAAGTTTTAAGGATGTCGTTTGGTATAGATCATATTAGCGATCTCTTTGTGGTATGGAGAGTACCACGATATAGACAGAAAAGAAACCGAATATTTATGAATATTTATTTCATTATGATATCATTGTAATATTGCAAACTACTTAGCCACACTATTACTATATAAACAGTGTCACCTAGAATAGTTTGGTATCTGTATCATATACTCATTAAGATTCATCAGACTACAAAACTATCTAGCCATTATCATATATCAACGGAGACCAAAGCATTAGTACTCTCCGTGAGCAAGCCCAGGTTTCTATACCACCCCACTGCGCCAGCAACTAGAACTATATAGTAAACTACGGTCCACATAACATAAGGTCGATACGACTGCCCTCTCTCATCAATGACGACAGCAGGATAGACACGGCCCCAGACGCGAGGCAGACCCATGCAATTACAAAAAGCGTGGACTACGAAAACGGCTATTAGGCTACCGGAGCGCAGGAACAGAAACGTGGCATAAGCACCAAATAGTGTTGTGTAGCCGAGCTGCATTAAGGAACGCAAAAGCCCAAACATCACAGGTACTTGCGGATGCGTGATGCGAAATTCATAGAAGTGATGGAGATGCGCGAGCCCGAAGACTAGTGGCGAGAGGAAGACGGTGGTAGTCACAGAGGTCTGCGCCGCGAGCATAAGCGGCACGGAGGCTGAGCGGAAGAGAGCTTCTTCTGTGAAGGGGCCCTGCGATTGTTAGAATTTGCTTATTTGGAGCTTTCTAAACAATAAATAGGTGATGAACGGGATTGAATCAGAGTTGCACAGAGTGCTATTGTATTGTCCTCACTGACAGGTCTTGAGTCTGCTCAGAAACACGGACCAATGTTTCTCATCATGATGTAAGGGAATGTGGTTTGGCTAACTCGGTATTGTAGCCTTTGGATTGTATGAGACAAGATATATATGAAACTTACCGCTACGATGTTACGCCAGGTCGTCAACTCACCGAAGAGATCAGATAACGGCTGTAAAGATAACCAACCTCGCCATCCTTCGTCGACAACGAGACGTTCGTACAATGGTCCAGCGAAGAGGATAGCGGTGAGCAGGAGGCACTTCGCCGTCTCCACGAGGCCGAGGGGCCAGTAACCTAGCGTATGCAGGGCCTCGGCTGTCGTAGCCTGACCCTGCGACGTTAGGATCACAAAGGTAATGATAGAGCACGCGATGCAGGTCAGTGAGACCGAGGCTATCCGCGCGCGGATCACAGACGGCGCGTCCCGCGATAGAGTACGAGATGGCCTGGTAGTGGGTGAAAGGTAAAATGGTACCACGTAGATGAGCGTGTAAATTACCTAGCTACCAGTCAATACCTCAAGTGCTTCTTTTTCTGCCCGATGCTAAACGCTCGTGGGAGAGCTGCGTCTAGCCGCATGCACAGTTGGGGACTTACGAGTAGGAAGACCGCGGTTCCGGTGCTGATTGGTGGTGGTTTTGCTGGCGCGGCTAAGTTAGAGAAATGTAGTCGGTAATATGGATTAGGTGGTACTTACGTTGTTCCTTAGCGAAGTAACGGGTTATGAAATTTGGTATCGAAGGCATCTTTGACTGGATACTGGTTTTGTACCAGTGTTTTACCTGTAACCTATTCGGAGTAGCTAGAATGACGTTTGTGAAACCAATGAGAAGCTCAAGATTAGATGACAAGAAAAACGACTCCGAGGTCTGCAAAGCTGACAAAGCTTTCGACTATTCTTGCTTGTTCTTTTACTCTTCGATAGCTTTAACTATGTCTTAGACAAGCCTTCAAGCATAAATTGAGATTCCCGTAAACACAAGGATGAATGAATCGTCGGGTCGCATGAAAGAAATGAT